GATATCAGCTGACCTAGATTTTGACAAAGTGTATTACATGTTGTCATGAAATTTTAGGCTGTGTGAAATATGACCTTCACCACCAAATTCACTAGACTCAAGTGCATTGATATATTCCTACTCTGATCTTTTATTGAGTTAACAATAGATTTAACCACTAATCTGATAATAAGAATTAGATATGCATTATGACAATCTTCCTGAAAATCTGTTCCTACACTACTATTTAGTGTTGTATTATTGCGGTGGCATAGCATTTTTCTCAAATGCAATCTTGTTTAAATTGAAAAGCAGATTGCATAGACTTAAACTTAAATTGGAGCGTGTTGGCTGATCGAAAAATATTTTCAGTCACTCGTCCTGCTTGTAAATCCATTATGTGCAGGCAACATTTTTCTAGTCACGTCCTGCATCAAGGTCTCTTAAATTCCACTCACAATTACAAGCGGATGGATGGAATTTCCAATCTCGTCTTAGGGCCTCATATTGAGCCCATGGGCACAATTTTTCTCTTAAGTTTTGTCTGAAATTTCAGGATTTTCATCGGTCATTGTACATTTTGCATGCCCTGACCAATCAAATACAACTTACCCGAGTTCTGTGTTTGAGCTGAGAAAATTGCTTTACATAATTTTGACCCTGGCTGCATAATCGTAAGGCTTTGTCAGTAAGACATGTATTGTGCCAAGTTTCATTTCATTTCTTACAGAGTTTTTAAGAAAATTCAGCTTCAAAGGGCCTCTATTATCAGTACCAATCAAACAAATTTCATAATGCAGTGTTTGTTAAAAGTTACTTAAAATTGCTGTACAACCTCTGCTTAGCAACACCCTTTGGAAGCCAGCCGTGATTTTGGTTGTTGCTGAAAGGTTTTGCTGTAGTGAGAAGTTGAGTTTATTGTTTAACTTTAAGCACAATGGATACCTGAATAGTTGTTTTAAAGAGGTTATTGCTTTATAAAAGGCTAATCTGCAGACATTTCTCTGTACTTTGACCTCGGCATGCGCAAATTATATTTTTCTCACCACTTCCAGATAGGATCAAATGTTTGAAAGACAGACCATGTTTTTTTCTGTTTCTAATAATCTGAATATTAAATGCTAAGAAAAGCTATTATCATTTATTCAGTTGTCAAATATTCATATTAGATTTACTTTAACTCCAGTATTTGAGACATTGGGCTGAATAAGGTGGAAATTAATGTCAACTTGTTCTCTTACCAAAGAATTGTTCACACATATTGTAAAAGAATGATTACATTGATGAAAGCAGTTTTTTTTATATTTTTTTCTTAGAAAATCAATTGAATATGAGAAAATTCTTTGATCGAATAGAAATTGCATGGTGGTGCTGATGGTGGTTAATGATGATGATTTTGAAGGAGATGATTGTTAAGAAAAAGATGATGATGATGATGATTGTTAAAAAACTATGATGATGATTTTAAGAAGATAAGGGTAGTTTGATGAATCATGATCATGATAACTTTCAAGTAATAAAAATTGTGATGCTGATGATGATGATGATAGTGATGAAGATGATATCATGATGATGATGATACTGGGGAAATTCATGGTATTGATGATGATTGTGCATAATAGATTGTGATGCTATGACAATGATGTTGTTGTTAATGATGTCAATTTATTATGCATGTTATTCAGATAACGACAAAAAACTCCAACAACATCAAAAATATACATGTATAATTAATTTTGGATAAAGCAAAGATATTTAAATGTTTTATGCATGGAGCAGGTCAATATTGCAACAGTACAATGTTAACATGCAAACATATAGACTTAATGTTCATTAAAATTGTAGTGAACAAGAAAATTTATTTGCACAATAGCCATTATACTGTCTGGCGAAAAGATATATATTAGTCTGCAATAATGAAAACAAATCTAGAAGTTTGTAAACAAAATATTATGAAATGAAGATAATTTTTTTTTAATGAAGTCAAAAGACATTGAATTTCACTGGGTTAGGAGAAGATGAAGCTTGGACAAGACTTGATTTGGGACCTTCTTCTGTACTGTCCTAGGGGTTTTATAAACTGGGCTACTAGTCTGACTTCTTTACACATTTCTTCTCCAATAGACTTACTTGGAAATTAAGAATATCTGGGTTTTTCCCAGTTAGTCCGTAAGTACAAACAAACTTTTACAGTTTCAGCTTTAAAAATAAGCTTAACAGGTTGATGGGTAGTGCACTGTGATGCTGTAACGGTAAAAGTTTGTTTGTATTTGGAAAAACCCACATTTCCCGATTTCGGGATAACGCCTATGAGTTAACAGTTCTATAATTACTATGAATGAAACATTTATTGTATTAATTGAAGTGTTGAAAATGATTATTATATTTTTCATTTGATTTTATTTAAGACATGACTTCTGAAATTCTCAGTCTATGAAATCATGTTTCCATCAATAGATTTACGTAGAAAAAAGATCTATTGCCATTGCTAAGGTTGTCTGGGAGTGCAAAAAAAAGAAAGAAAATAAAGAATGATTAATTGAAAGTAAATGTCCCATTTGTCTCAAAACATCACTCAAAACATGGTATCTAAATGTATCTGGGTGGAACTGATGAGGGGAAATGAACATTTTTAACTTGTTTTTGCTTTTCTTTTCTTTTTTTTGTCTGTAAAAATAAGGAGAGAAATTGAATCAAATGTTTGTGTAGAATGATCTTTACATTTATTTGAGTTATTTATTGGATCACTATTGGATACTTAAATCTTGGGTTGCTGATAGCAACTAAATTTACTAGTATTATCTGAGTGCAGATCAAGCTGAGCTGGCACATCTGTGCTGTCTGATCTTGGCTTTATGTACATATGCATGTACTTAGTTATTGCCCCAATATTATTGTCACGTTAGCGTGACGCGCCTTTTTATATGTTATTGCATTGACGTCATTATATGAGTTGACTTCTGGTAATAAGAAAATAAACAAACGTTACATCTCTTGATTATTTAGTGTTTACACAACACTTGGTCTGCACTGCTCTCTTATTGTCCCCCGCCTTTTCGAAGAAAAAAGGGGGATATAGAAATAGGCTCCGTCCGTCCGTCCATCCGTCCGTCCGTCACACTTTCGTGTCCGGTCCATAACTTTGTCATTTATGAAAGGAATTTGAAATAACTTGGCACAAATGTTTATTATAATAAGACGATGTGTCATGCGCAACAACCAGACCCCTACCTCCAGGGTCAAGGTCACACTTGCTCATTCAAGGTCAACATTGCCTATTTGAGGGAATATGTCGTGTCCGGTCCATAACTTTCTTATCTATGAAGGGATTTTGTAAATACTTGCCATAATTGTTCACAATAATCAGACGATGTGTCATGCGCAACAACCAGACCCGTACCTTCAGGGTCAAGGTCGTACTTGCTCATTCAAGGTTAACATTGTCTATTTGAGGGTATATGTCGTGTCCGGTCCATAACTTTCTTATCTATGAAGGGATTTTGTAAATACTTGCCATAATTGTTCACAATAATCAGACGATGTGTCATGTGCAAAAACCAGTCACCGACCTTCAAGGTCAAGGTCACACTTGGAGGTCAAATATTAACATAGTTTGCTACAGGGTATATTTCGTGTCCGGTCCATAACTTTGTCATTTATCAAAGGAATTTGAGATAACTTGGCACAAATGTTTGTTATAATAAGACGATGTGTCATGCGCAACAACCAGACCCATCCCTTCGAGTCAAGGTCGTACTTGCTCATTCAAGGTCAACATTTCCTATTTGAGGGTATATGTCGTGTCCGGTCCATAACTTTCTTATCTATGAAGGACTTTTGTAAATACTTGCCATAATTGTTCACAATAATCAGATGATGTGTCATGCGCAAAAACCGGTCACCTACCTCCAAGGTCAAGGTCACACTTGGAGGTCAAATATTAACATAGTCTGTTACAGGGTATATTTTGTGTCAGGTCTATAACTTTTTCATAGATCAAAGGATTTTGAAAATACTTCGCACAAATAGTCACTATAATAAGAGGATGTGTCATGCGCAACACCTGCATCCCTACCTCCAAGGTCAAGGTCACACTTAGAGGTCAAAAATTAACATAGTCTGTTATAGGGTATATTTTGTGTTGAATCTAGAACTTCTTCATAGTTCAAGGGATTTTGGAATAACTTGGCACAAATAGTCACAATAATAAGCCGTTATGTCAGGTACAACACCTGCACCCCTACCTCTTAAGGTCAAGGTCACACTTAGAGGTCAAAGGTTAACAGAGTCTGTTATTTGGTATATTTTTTGTCCTGTCCATAACTTCTTCATAGATTAAGGGATTTTGAAAATACTTGGCACAAATAGTCACAATGATTAGATGATATGTCATGCGTAACATCTGTGTCCCTACCTCCAAGGTCAAGGTCACACTTAGAGGTCAAAGATTTACATAGTCTGTTATAAGGTATATTTTGTGTCCAATCTATAACTTCTTCATAGTTCAAGGGATTTTGAAAATACTTGGCACAAATAGTCTCAATAATAAGACGTTGTGTCATGCACAACACCTGCTCCCCTACCTCCAAGGTCAAGGTCACACTTAGAGGTCAAAGCTTAACATGATAGATTTTTAAATTCCGTGTTCCATTTTATTTTTTTAACAAATTTATTGTTACATTTGCAGATCTAGTATTGATCATAATTTTGGACTGAATGTCCTGAGATCCATACCTCAATCTTTTGAAATAGCACAATTTTATGCTTCATATAAAACTCCCGGGGCGGGGGGCGTTGGTAACTCTGTTACAAATTCTTGTTAAATAATTAAGGCAGTAATTATTTCTGAAATATTTCCCTTCAAAGGATAAATGGTTTCATCCAAATTTGAAGATGATTGACAAGTCTATTTAAGACATTTAGCAGGATAAGGTTGAAGCTAATTGGGGAAAAAAAACAACAAAAAAAACAATCCTTATGGATAAGTTTCATTTTTATGTATCTGTAATCTTTATCTTCAGGACACATACGATCATACTCAGAAGAGCCCAGTATTAGAGACGTCAGCATGAACAAAGAGAACAAAGGTTCAGGTCTTCTCACAAGGCTACAACTCTTAGGTAAGTTTGATAGCATAAAAATTATCCTCCAATCACCAAAGCAAAAGAAGGAGCATTCTTTGGAACTGTTGCAAGGATTTATTTCCAGCAAGTACCCATGGCATAAATATTTGCCTCAAACATTAAGACGACTTTTATTCTTTCAGAAACTTAGAATAAGAGCTTAAGTACAATTTACTGATACCTGAGTCTATCTAATTCATACTTGGAGAGTTTAAGCACTTAAAGTCAATCCTTCGCACAGTGGTCTACTTAAAATTATATAGATATTTAAATCATACTTCATTTATGAAAGTCATGCTAAATGACTGTTTCCACTTATTAAAAAAGGGGAAGAAAAGGGAAACAATGATGACATGTGCATAAATGATGATTATTTGATATTGATGTGATGATGATGATTATATGTCTGAGAACAATGAAGATGAAGATTGTTGTTGTAGTTGATGATGATGATAACAATAATAAAGATGATGATGACAATGTCATTATTATGGTGTTTATGATGGTCTGGTAATGATGATGATGATACTTATGATACTGATGATGATGATAATGATGATGATGGTGGTGGTCTGGTATTATGATGATGATACTGATGGTGATAATAAGAATGTGGTGATGTAAAGACGATGATGATGATAGGGACCATCGATCATGATGATGACAAAAATTGTGCATAGAGACTGCACTAGAATCCTTTTTTTTTTTGCCTAATTGACTTATACCAAAGTCCTTTTCACGAGTACATCTATATAAATATTGACTTATTGATATATACTGGCAATATTTTGTTCAGTATTGCTAGTGTGGGGGTTGTTAGATTTTTTATGCGGAAACTAATGATGTTCATTACTGTTTTAAGATGCTTTTGGGATACATTTAACAGCCATCATATTATGAACCATTTTCCTTATTAGGAGTTTTATTCAGGTTTTTAACCAGGTTTTCCGAAGGAAAAAACTGGTTATTAGATTGAGGTATGTCGGCGGGCGGACGGGCGTAAACAATTTCTTCTGTGCGCAACTCCTCCTACATTTCTCAACGGATTTTGACCAAACTTTCACAGAAGCTTTGTCATCAAGTGCCCTGGCGCATATTGTCGGGGTTTTGCGATTAGATAATATTTGACCTAATTATGGCCCTTTGTTTTTTTTCCTTATATAGAATATATAGTGAACAATTTCTTCTGTGCGCAACTCCTACATTTCTCAACGGATTTTGACCAAACTTTCACAGAAGCTTTGTCATCAAGTGCCCTGGCGCATATTGTCGGGGTTTTTGCGATTAGATAATATTTGACCTAATTATGGCCCTTTGTTTTTTTTTCCTTATATAGAATATATAGTGAACAATTTCTTCTGTGCGCAACTCCTCCTACATTTCTCAACGGATTTTGACCAAACTTTCTCAGAAGCTTTGTCATCAAGTGCCCTGACACATATTGTCAGGGTTTTTTGCAATTGGTATATATTTGGACCTAATTATGGCCCTTTGTTTTTTTTCATTATAGAGAAATATAGTGAACAATTTCTTTCTGTGCGCAACTCCTCCTACATTTCTCAACGGATTTTGACCAAACTTTTCTTAGAAGCTTTGTTATTCAAGTGCCTGGCACATATTGTCGGGGTTTTGTGATTGGATAATATTTTACCGAATTATGGCCCTTTGTGTATTTTTTCCTTATACAGAATATAATAGTGAACAATTTCTACAGTGAAGCACTTCTCCTACATTTCTCAACGGATTTTGACCAAACTTTCACAGAAGCTTTGTCATCAAGTGCCATACAGCACATATTGTCGGGTTTTGTGATTAGATAATTTTTTACCTAATTATGGCCCTTTGTTTTTTTTTCCTTATACAGAATATATATAGTGAACACTTCTTCTCTGCGCAATTCTGTGCGCAAACTCCCTACAATTCTCTAGGGATTTTGACAAAACTCTCGCAGAAGCTTTGTCATCAACTCTTTGCTGCATCGTTGTCAGGGTTATGAGATTTGATAATGTTTGACCTAATTATGGCCATTTATTTTTTCCCTTATATAGAAATATATTGTTTTTGTTCCATATATAGAATATAAAGTGAACAAATTCTTATTTTGCACACCTCTTCCTACAAACTATTTTGACAAACTTTCACAGAAGCTTTCTCATCAAGAGTCCTTGTGCATATCATCGGGGTTTTGTGATTTTGGGTGTGCGGGCGGGCGTTCACTTTAAAACAAATGCCCCTGCATGACGAAGCTTCTGTGAAATATTTTGCTGAAAACCTGGTTGCATCGCATTGCGATGTTCCTTGTTTACTTATTATGGTTCTAATTAGGAAAATTCCTATCTTTTTAGGCTTCGTTGGCAATCATGCATGTGTTTAAATATTATTTAAAAGATAGATTGAAGACTTTGGTTAAAAGAGGTCTTTTTGGCAGCGTGGTGTAAGGTTGCTGACTTGAAATCACTGTACATTGCCCTACTTTTGGTTTCATTACACTAAAGACTTTGTATTCTTGCATGTGTGAGTCAGCCCCAAATAAACCCTAAATAAAAAAATAAATGAAACAGACTGAATTTAAATAAACAAGCCCGGGGGTTAAATCTTTGGAAAGTTTTAGTAAAAATTTCCTAAGAAATTGATTCTTTGATATCCCCCTAAAGGAAAAAGGGCAAAATCCTTTTGTATCTCTTATAAACATTTGCCCGAAAAAACCAGCTCACATTTTCCATATTTTCTTCCCTAAATTTTTTAAAATCTTGACCCCCGGGGTCCAACTGATTGCCTTTTATATATTTTTGTTCAGCAGAGCAGTAGAGTAAAAATCTAGCATTTTCGGAGAATAACTAGCATTTCTGGAGTATATTGCATTTTACGGAGAAAATATAGCATTTAAGGGAGAAATATTGCATTTAAGGTAGAAATACAGCATTTTTGGAGAAATATAGAAATAAAGCAATTTTTTGGTGGAAAAATAGCATGGGGTATATAGCATTTTTTGGGAAAATAAACCATTTTTAGGAGGGAAATAAAGCATATTTATAGGAAAATATATGATATGTTTGGGAGAATATGACATTTTTGGGGGGGAATATAGCATTATAATTTTGTGGGGATCATATTGAAATTTAGGGAAAATATTGGTTTTTTTTTGGGCCAGGGGAAATATTTTTAAGCGCCTACCTTCAGTTGTAAAATAAATGGATTACCACATCATATTGTTTCTCAAGTAAGTAGCTGACAGAATAAAAGAAAATTGATAAAAGGCTGCCATACAATAAAAGTTGTGTTACTTGAACTTCTGATGATTATTAGTTATGGAATAAAATGGAAAACAAACTTTGCAATCTCAAGAAGAAAAATGCTGGTAAAATATTTATTCTTATCTCTTTAATTAAAAACCAATTAAGCAGGCATTAAGCTTGATTATTCCTATAATTGAAAGCGATAATAAATCAATCACAGCTTATGATGGAGTAGTGCTCCCTTTCCCCAGTTACATAATAAACCGTAATTCTAGATGATATTGTAAAAAACATAAAAAAGAAATTTCTCTGATTATCCAAGCAGGCTATTGAGACAATTTCCCTCGCAGAAAAATTACGAATGAAAAAGCTTTTATGTCCATCGGTTCTTGATATTTTTTATGAATGGGTCGGAAACGGTTGTGACAGTTTTATAATAGATTGAATTCGACCTGTTATTATTTGCCAATCATGGTAGGTCAATTTCCTGTTATAATGGGGAAAAATTCCAGAGACTTAAAAAAAAAACACGGAAAATAAACTAACTCCAAGTTCATTTTAGATTGTTAGGGAGAAAAATGCCTGAACCGATCTTTATTTTATGCAAATAATAATCTACAGTAAAAAAGAAGAGACGGTTTTCTATGCGAACAATTATAATGTTACAGCTAGTGCACAATTGGCACCTAAAATGTTATTGCAGAACAATACACACTGCACTTAAATTTTTAAAACCCCAAATTATTAAAATGCTGCTTTAAAATTTTTAAACACTAAGTCCCTTGCCCGCAGAATTGGGATCTTAATGGGAAAATCAGAAAAATTTTTTTTCACTACAAATTCCCCCAATCATAAAAAACCCCCCTTTTTTTTTATAAGGTTTTTCGGGAATTCAAACTATTAATTTTAAGAAATGCAATGGAGTCACAGAGTGAAAACATTAATGTTATAATTGAATTTTTGATGAATTCTGGTTTCAAGGAATGAGATTAGAGTGAGACTAAAAATAATGAGCACCAACAACATATGATAATTAGGTTATTAACCCGAAAGATGCTTTTAAAGATTAAAAAAAAAAAACCCGAATTTAAATCATTTACTTTTGTAACTGTTTTTTAAGCATTTAAACAAAAAATTTTCTTGGGTTTAGGGAAGTGACTGTTTTGACTGAAGGTTTTAAAGGGAAAATTGGGCTAATAGAGAAGTGATGTATCTTAAACTTAACATTGCTGTATTTTTTAAACCCCCTTTAAAAATGATGTAATTCATGCTTGGAAAAAAAAACAAAAACAAAAAAACATCACAAGAAACAAAAAATAACCAAAATATATTGGAAGAGAACATCACATTGTCGAAATAGAATGTCAGTAACTGTTGTATGTTAAGTGATATTTGAAGTTAAAATTACCATTTTTAGTAAATCCCCTTTAATGGAAAACTCGACTTTGACTAGTTCTATGTTTTTATCATCTGTAATTATTTCATTAGCGGTAGTCCAGTCTGATTGATCTGAAAACTTCTCTTTAAATAGCGAAATGTTCAATTCTCTGAGAAAATAGCAGTTGGTTGTATAATGAAGACCGATCTGGTATCGGAGAGACGCTACTCTTTCATTAAGATGAAAATTTTCTCTGAGATTTCATCATATAAGTATCAATATGTCAGAAATAATAATAGGTGATTAAAACGTTTATATTTTGTATTGTGACATTCATAATGATAGAGCTGTAGAGTACAGACTAACCCTCAGTAGGTAATTACGAACAATATTCCGTAATGATGCCCGACTTAATTATAATGGTTTAGTAAAGAATTAATTGGGAGAGTTTATTGACAGATTTCCCCTAGTTAGGTCAGGGTGGTTTATACTCTAACATTGGCTTTCAATGATTTCTATGGAAGTTTTCAGTCAATATGTTAGTTAACTTAATTTAAGGTATATCTCATTAACAAGAGCTGTCACAGGAGACAGCGAAGCTCGACTAATGAAATACTGGACGCAGTAAGGAGGACAAAACTATGAAAGGAAAATCAATTATGTATAATTATGTATTAAGTTATAGTAAAAAAATAATATTTGTTAACATAAATTCCAAGATCAAGGGGAATAATGCTAGAAATAGTCATGCTAGAGTTATGGACCTTGTCACACAACATTTGTGTAATGATAAGAAACATATATTTGAAGTTTGAAGCAGATACCTTAAAAAGAAAAGAAGCTATTATATTTCTTAAAGAAAATCCTAAGTTCAAAGAGAGATAAATCTGTAAATATTGCATCAAGAATTATGAACAATGTCACAATAAATGTAATTGTTGATAAGGAATAAGTATTTGAAATTTGAGGTAGATACCTTTAAAAAATAAAAAAGTTTATAATAAAAAATAACATTTTTCTAGTAAAAAAAATCTAAGTTTATGGGGAGATAATTCTTGTAATATTGGTGCTAGAGTTATGAACCTTGTCACATAAGATGTGGATGATGATAACGTAAACATATTTGAAGTATGAAGTTGATCCCTTTAGAAATATAATATAAATAACAGTAAAAAAAATATTTTTTATGGAAAATTCTAAGTTCAAAGGGAGATAAATCTGAAAATATTGGTGCTAGAGTTATGAACCTTGTCACATAAGATGGGGATGATGATAACGTAAATACATTTGAAGTATGAGGTTGATCCCTTAAGAAATAAAGAAGAAACAGTAAGAAATAGTACTTTTTGAGGAAAATTCTAAGTTCAAGGGGAGATAAATCTGAAACTATTGGTGCTAGAGTTATGAAACCTTGTCACATAAGATGGGGATGATGATAAGGTACATATATTTGAAGTATGAGGTTGATCCCTTAAGAAATAAGGAAGTAACAGTAAAAAATAGTATTTTTTAAGGAAAATTCTAAGTTCAAGGGGAGATAAATCTGAAAATATTGGTGCTAGAGTTATGAACCTTGTCACATATGATGTGGTTGATGATAAGGAAGATATATTTGTAGTTTGAAGTTGATACCTTAAGAAATGACAAAGTTATAGTGAAAAATATTTTACTGCACCAAAACTTTAATCTAAAATCTGGACGCGGACGCGGACGCCGACGCCGGGGCGAGTAGGACAGCTCTCCATATACTTCGTATAGTCGAGCTAAAAATGATGCTAAGCCAACATTATAATTAGAGACACTGAAAAATAAAACAAGTCTATATAGGTAATACTGGGGAATAATGCACGATTTTACTTGCATTAACATGTGCAGAAGCACGAGGGCATATTAAGAGTTTGAGTGTGCAGGACGAGGGTCGTAATAAGTCTACGGGCTTCAGCAGATGTTAATACATTAAAAAACCAAAGTTTTATAAAAGATGATACTTTTACATGTCAATGACATTTTGCATTTAACATATCTCATTGTCATTGATTTTTCCTTCACTTCATATCCTATTCCATTAGCCAAGTTTTTGAAAATGGAGTTTTTAATTGAATTAGTCAACCTATTCTGATATTCATTTATTGTCAATGATGTTTTTTTATTTGCATTAAGAAATATTTTTTTCCCTAAATTTCTCCAATCCTCGATATTTTCTGATTAAGAAAAAAAACTTTTGCCAATTTTTCATGAAAAAAAAAGACAAACAAAAAATCAGATAGGGGATAAAAGTGTTTAATAATGGTGTGTTAATAATTTATTTTCAGATTTGTCTCCAGATTGCCGCAGTAACCTGACTGCATGTCAGGCCCATGCTCTGTGTGACACAGACAGCCCAGGGGGCGACTTCAGATGTAGGTGTAGGCGGGGCTACTTCCTGAAGGACCTGTCCTGTATACGTAAGTAATAAGTAAAATAAATAATAATAACTATTATACAATACATTTCCTATTACCTTCTCAAGTATTTAATCATCTTTTCAGTGCTCAGCATTATCTCAAGTCCTTAACTTTTTATATATTTATTGCACAATATGTCAGTGTTTTGAACTATGGTTATTTGAAGGATCTTGCGAAGTTATTGTAAATTAAGTAAAATCAGGAATTATTATTTTTTGATATTTTCACGTATTGAATATTTATGTAAAATTAAATCTTCGCTAAGTATCTAAGCATGATATAAACATATAAACATAAACTGAAACAAGAAATTTTCTATTATTAATTTTAATCTCGCAGATTAGTCTGAAAATGTTGATTTTGTGAAATTTAGGCCTCTCTAAAATTCTTGATTTTACGGTACGTTGGTAACGTATGACTAAAGCATTAAAGAGAAGTATGATATATTTGAGATTTTATACAGTAAGCACTTGAGACAATGAATGATAAATGCTCAGTGCACTTAACTTTTTTGTCAGGTTATCATTACAACACTCTTTACTTCTTTAAAGTTTGCACCGTATTGTTAGTGTTATTATAGGAAAGACAATGCAAAATTAGCTACACAGGAAAAGTGAAAGGCATATAATTATATCTTCTTTAAGTAATCTGGATTTGTAAGGGGAGCAGGGGAAGTACTACAGAGTTGTAGGGGAGGGACATCTGTGGTGAAGTGGTTCAGGTCCAAAGTCCTGAATTGGCTATGGATTTGAATCCTGTCAGGGTCTTTGGATTCTTCCATGTGAGGAAGCTATCCAGCTAGCTAACCAGTTGTCTGTGGTTCTGCTTAGGTGCCTGTTTGTGCCACAGATAATGCACTTATATAGGGGCACCTGAGCTCTTTCTCTAGCAGTAAAGCTTGAAAGTCACCATATGACCTTAACCATGTTTGTGCACAAAAAATAAAATAATGAAATAACCATAAATAAAAAACATCAGTCTGTATGGAGAGCAATCTGGAGTTGTCAGGGAGCATGTGAGAGCAAATTTGAGCCGTGTGCACATTCACAAGACTTAAATAAGTTATCTTTGAAAAATTATGTTTAAACTTAATTCAACTAAGCACTATATAAAATTCAGTAGGGTAACAGATTAACAAGTCTGATTGATTCAATCATGGAATGAGAGTGGATAAATTGGGAACTGAAACATTTACAATCATAATACATTACTTTGTCTGGTCCATTTAGTTCGTGACATGAGTTATACAAAGTTGAGATAATACCAGAAAGAGTGGAACATTATGCTAAACAAGTAGCAACAAGAAAAAGATAATGACAGGGGGGAAAATCGTCTGTTGAATTGATACGTTTTTATCTCAGTTTGTGTATAAAAAACAAGAGATTTTCTGATAATTGAAAAAATGTTTTTCTATGGAAAAAAAATTATAAGGTGTTAGAGTACGAAAGCAGTTGAGCGCTGATTAAATTCACAATAATGTGCCATTCTCTATGTTCAAGTGTGAAAACAACATTTTTTTATTAAAAGAAATACTCAGATGTAGCCTATTTTAGGATGAATAATTTGAAAATTGTTAGAGTCTGAAAAGTTCATTTTAATATTTTCACAATTCAGAAATAATTACAATACGAAAGACATAATCCTTAAACTGCAAATATTGAGACACATTTTTTTTTTAATTTACAAAAACAGTAAATATTGTATGAATTTTTTCCCATATCTGTTTAGATTTACCATTCTCATTTGGAAGAATAGGGAAGGCAATTGTACTCAGCCAGGCATCAACGTTTGTGTCACACTTTGGTCAAGTTTTTGCATGCAAGTTGATATCTCTAAAACTTGGGTGAAACTTCACACACATATTTGAGAAATTAAGAGCATAAAAGGAGGCCAATATCCAAGGCTTATAACTCTTAACATGGATTTTGACAGAATGATAGCCCTTTTTGAACTTATTATCTTGGCCTATTGTTTTATTATCTGAGAATAGTGGGGCATATTGTCTTAAAAAACAGCTCTTGTATATTTCAAAACTACAAGTCCATGACTGTACAAAGTATAATTTATTTTCTTTTAATTTTATTTAGGGAAACGAAGAAGAGCAGTAACTATTGTAATGGTAAAATATAATATGTTAGGGTTTGTTTTTAGCTCACCTGTCACAAAGTGACAGGGTGAGCTTTTGTGATCGCTTTTCGTCCGGCGTCCGTCCGTCGTTCCTCTGTCGTCCGTCCGTAAACTTTTGCTTTAAATGACATCTCCTCATAAACCACTGAGCCAATTTCATCCAAACTTCACAGGAATGTTCCTTTGGTGGTCACCTTTAAAAATTGTTCAAAGAATTTAATTCCATGCAGAACTCTGGTTGCCATGGCAACCAAAAGAAAAAACTTTAAATATCTTCTTTTAAAAAACCATAAGAGCTAGAGCTTAGATATTTGGCATGAAACATCTTCTAGTGAGTGTCTACCAAGTTTGTTCAAATAAAAGCCCTGGGGTCAAAATTGGCCCCGCCGAGGGGGGGGGGGTCATTGATTTTCCCTATATGCATATAGTAAAAACATAAAAAATCTTCTTTTAAAGAACCCAAAGAGCTAGAGCTAAGATATTTAGCATGAAACATGTTCTAATGGGTGTCTACCAAGTTTGTTCAAATAAAAGCCCTGGGGTCAAAATTGGCCCCGCCCCTGGGGGTCATTGATTTTCCCTATATGCATATAGTAAAAACTTAAAAAATCTTCTTTTAAAGAACCATAAGAGCTAGAGCTAAGATATTTGGCATGAAACATCTTCTAGTGAATGTCTACCAAGTTTGTTCAAATAAAAGCCCTGGGGTCAAAATTGGCCCCGCCTTAGGGGGTCATTGATTTTCCCTATATGCATATAGTAAAAACTTAAAAATCTTCTTTTAAAGAACCCAAAGAGCTAGAGCTAAGATATTAAGCATGAAACATCTTCTAGTGAGTGTCTACCAAGTTTGTTCAAATTAAAGCCCTGGGGTCAAAATTGGCCCAGCCCCGGGGGTCATTGATTTTCCCTATATGCGTATAGTAAAAACTTAAAAAATCTTCTTTTAAAGAACCATAAGAGCTAGAGCTTAGATATTTGGCATGAAACATCTTCTAGTGAATGTCTACCAAGTTTGTTCAAATAAAAGCCCTGGGGTCAAAATTGACCCCGCCCCAGGGGGTCATAGATTTTCCCTATATGCATATAGTAAAAACTTAAAAAATCTTCTTTTAAAGAACCCAAAGAGCTAGAGGTAAGATATTTAGCATGAGATATCTTCTAATGAGTGTCTACCAAGTTTGTTCAAATAAAAGCCCTGGGGTCAAAATTGGCACCGCCCCAGGGGGTCATTGATTTTCCCTATATGCGTATAGTAAAAACTTAAAAAATCTTCTTTTAAAGAACCATAAGAGCTAGAGCTTAGATATTTGGCATGAAACATCTTCTAGTGAATGTCTACCAAGTTTGTTCAAATAAAAGCCCTGGGGTCAAAATTGACCCCGCCCCAGGGGGGGGAGGGGGGGGGTCATTGATTTTCCTTATATGTGTATAGCAAAAACTTAAAAATCTTCTTTGGAAAAACCCAAATAGCTAGAGTTTAGATATTAAGCATGAAACATCTTTAAGTAAATATCTACAAAGTTTGTTAAAATAAACGCCCGGGGGTCAAAACTGGCCCTGCCCCAGGGGTGTCATTGTTTTTAACTATATGTGTATAGTAAAAACTTTAAAAATCTTCTTTTAAAAAAGCCAATGAGCTAGAACTTAGATGTTTAGCATGAAACATCTTCTTATGGGTGTCTACCAAGCCTGTTCAAATAAACAAATAAAAGCCCTTGGGTAAAAATTGGCCCGGGGGTGGGGGGGGCCTATATACAGGTGAGCGACCTCAGGGCCATCATGGCCCTCTTGTTTGTTGTTGTTTTTTTTTCCATGTTTTTTTTTAATTTTTTTTTAAAAATTTTCACATTGCAGCTTGTCAGACATCTTGTAAAGAAGGACATTTTATGGAGAAACAGTGTAGTGCCAATGGTGATGTTATTTGTAGAGGTAAGTAACATTTTAATTTGATTATGATACTTTGGCCTAATAATGCAAAATTGAATTGTATACCACTCTGAAACTTCTGTGTTTGATTGGGCCAGTCTTTGCTCTGAATTTGAATAGACCAATGGTAGAGCTTTAAATTTAGACTGGTCACCAATTTTATTTTAACACTTTAAACTCACATTATTTTCATTTTTGTTTAATACCCTAGTGGTGTTTGTTTTCTTTCTCAAAAATAACAATTTTGCCTGATCTATAATTATCAGTTCAGCCCAACTTGTACAGTATTTCTTTAAATTTACACGTATTCGTAATTATGTAAAATAAACTAAGAAAAAAACCAAATACAATTTAAAACAATAGAATAAACAAATTAAAATTTTCTTCGTGATTTTAAAAAAGTCTTTTATCCCTTTTTAATGCCGACTAAACATAAAACTTATAAAATGCATACTGGTACAATGTACCTGGTATTTCATTGCCTATTTATATATGCCACAAGTCTATTACACATAATAGTACATAATATAATTATATTTTCGAAAGAAAATGAAATTAATCTCAGACCTATAGACAACCACGACCTTTCAAAGGGTTTAGTAATTTATTCAGTGCCAGCGCTTGATTGATTTGTGATAACAATGTAAAGATGTAATCTCAGGGAGCTATAAGTAAAATCTTATAATTAAACTTACACCCTGGTCAATAAGATTATTTGTTTCACGTCTGCTAGTGTAATATACTGCAAAGGTTAACTATAGATTGCAAACACAAAATAAAGAAACAATGCTTGTCTAGGATGTGTATCATGTCTCCTTTTGTTTCCAATCCCCTTATTTTTATTAGGCAAAAAAAAGAAAAAAGTTTCCAATCTCCCCTGTCTCATTTGGCCAAAAGAATAACTTTGTTTCCAATCCCTATGTCTCATTAGGCAAAAAATATATTTGTTTCCAATCCCCCTGTCTGATTAGGCCGCGTCCACCAATAAAGAAAGTATTGGGAGGTGGAAATTTCATGTATTACGGAAAATGATATATTTTAACTTTGTTTTATATTCTGTAAAGATTGAGGGCAAAAAAAAAAGTAATAGTTATTAAAAAAAGCTGAAGTGTCAGCAGATTAAAATGGGATATGTGTAGGGGGGACATGAGAATCTGAGACCTGAAGAAAAAGTTTTTTTGGCCTTAAAAACAATTCTGAAATTGACAAATGATCTGACAATTGTTCAGAGATAGATCCATCAATATTTTTACTGTAACTAGGATCTATATGAACAGATATACTGTCAAATTATCTAGAAATATTGTAGAGATTCTAGAGCAAGCCCTGACCGTTGTATCAAGATTTGGGGTGAAACTTTTTGATGTGATTTGTAAAATTTCACCATTTTAATATTTGATCTGAATAGTCCTTTTGATACATGTGAAGATAATTGGTGCAAAACTTTAGCTGGGTTTTCTTGTGTTTTCACCAGTGCTAGAAAATGTCATGTTTTAGCTAGAGATGAGACACATGCTTAAAAATGATGTCATTCCAAGGTCATTTATACATAAGTTTCCATGTTTATGATGATGTCTTTCCCCCATTTTTAATTACAATTTGAATTATTATGCTTCTTAAAGTGCAAAATAAGAATTTTTCATAATTTTATTGATTTATTAATTTATAATTATGTTATATGCAATAAAATCAGAGGCTATCGTCACAGATGTTAATATACTGTTTTTGGCTAGTTGAAACTCCACCAAGCCTTGTTGCTGATGAAGTAAACAGTTACTTGCCAGCTTACTGATCCAGTCAATACTGGCAGCCAGTTAGACTGTTTTACTTGCTAATTTCTGATACCTGTCTAATAAACAATACTGGTAATTTTTTTTGGATATTTTATCATTTTATTTCTTTTTTCTTTTTCCAGAATGTACACAGTGTGTTGGGAGCTCATATGAGGTTGCTGTCTGTACCTCAACACAAGATACCATCTGTATAGGTATATAATAATATGTTATACAAAATTAAGCTATGTAATGTCCCCACTTAAAGGGAGGGTATCAAAAATTTATAGTTTTGCCTTTGCTAGCCCATCATGCAGCCCATCTGTATATTAACAAAGTGGAATGTAGGGGCATATAACTGTTTCCTATGGGTGCATTGCTACTTTTTAGCAGTTTGGGAAAATGACCATACCCCACCCACTGGATTGAGATTTTTAGAGGCATTTTGCTAAAAAAAAAGGGAAATAGATTGTGAACTTGGTTGACCAGTTATCATAACATTGTCCTGATTTGTAGATGAATAAAAAAAAGTTCACACAATCTTCAACAAGAACCAACTGTTTTGATGTTGAATTTCTTATAAAAAATGGGAAAAAAAGATACTTCTTGCATTTGGGAATAGAACCCAATATCTGTTATAAAATCAGCAAAAACCAGTGATACAAAAAAAGGCCTTTCTTTGAAATATTTCATAGAATTTTAATGATTTTATGCAGGTGTTTGTAATTTTCCAGCAGTAATACAAGGATGGTCAAATTTTGGTCTTTTCCACCAGTCTTTAAGTCTTAAGTTTTCAATTTTCCAGTACGGAATTGACAAAAAGTTTAAGAGTATGTGCATTATATAAAGTTAATAAACGAAGTTGTTTCTCACTTACATCTAATAAATGTAATCCGCACCTGAACATTACAACAAATTATTCTTAAAAAAATTCAAATGTGATCAAATTTTATTTTTTCGTTGCAGACACTAGCACAGTATTCTCTATTTCCAGTACAGAATTGACAAAAAAATTAAAAAGATAATGTGTGCTGAAGTAACCAAAGTTGTTTTTCACTTGCATCTAACACGCACCTGATCATCACAAATTATTCTTAAGAAAAAAAATTAAATTGATCAAATTTTATTTTTTCATTGCAGACGTCACATTTCCTTTGAAGCAGTTTCAGTCAAATGCTCTTCCTGTTGAAGGTAAGTTAAGCACATGTACATGTATATGTTCATATTTGACAGTTTTGTTGCTGCACCTGTAATTTATTGGGTCTCCTAAACCAGATGGTAAAGTTAAATGACAGGACAATAGTTCTGTAATGTTCCAGAAGCGAACTTTGACAGTAGTTCAAAATGTGTAATAAACTTCTTTGTCAAAAGCAGTGGGAAACAATAAAAAATGTTCTTCCCAGAAAATGTTTCAAGATTTAAAGAATAATTTCTAATCCTAAAGTCTGATAAAATGTTAATGACAAATATTTGTTATATACTTGTATATATAGCATTTAATGCTTCAGTCAATGAGTATGAGAAAAAAAAAATGGATACATGTTTGCAAGTACTACATAGAAAGTTTTGCAGATATTTACCTGTCCGTCTGGTTTATAACAGACAGTTTTACATCACTAAATAGTCACACCCACAAATACTCGCTGCCGCGGCAGCGAATGTTGCCCCTTTAATAGGGAAAGCATCATATTTGTAATCCAGCTGTGATTGGTTCGATCCTTGGGCGGGCGCAAATTTTCCCCTAACAATTTATTAGGCAATTAAGTTAATGGTCTTGTTTTTACCACTGATTTAGAATCATGTGGGATTATATAGGTAGTTGGGAGATAGTAAGTAATTACGGTTGTTATGCAAAGAATCTGGTTAGATGGACTTTCACCAAGATAAATGTATATAAGAAATTTTTTTAAAATCATATAAAAACCAGATCAACAAAATCAAATAATTGTTGTTTTTCCAATTGGGGTTTTTAAATCAGAGATTTCAACAATTTTACACCATTGTTCCCGCTCAATTTGGTGAAAGTTTTTGTGAGAATTGAAATGACTTTCTGCAAATACAAAATGTAAAGTAAATTAAGACCAGTGACAATTTACACACAAAGTTGTAAACTGTCTGCTTCAAAGTTCCAAAATTTTTTTTTGTTTGTGCCTGTGTGTAAAAATGGTGTTTTATGACCGTCTGCTGTTTTATTGTACATATATATACATAATTGATAGTTTGGGAACACAGAAAAGTACAAGATTTATGTCACTTCAGGGTGCATTTTTTATGACAAGTAGATAAAACAGTATATTCTAACAGGCTCCGAGTGAGAATTAGGACACCATAATACACAATAAACTTGTTTTGGACCTGTTATTTTGTGTCATGTTTTTGTTACTTTTTTAGCTCACCTGTCACTTTGTGACAGGGTGAGCTTTTGTGATCGCTTTTCGTCCGGCGTCCGTCCGTCCGTCGTCCGTCCGTCGTCCGTCCGTCCGTAAACTTTTGCTTTAAATGACATCTCCTCATAAACCACTGAGCCAATTTCATCCAAACTTCACAGGAATGTTCCTTTGGTGGTCACCTTTAAAAATTGTTCAAAGAATTTAATTCCATGCAGAACTCTGGTTGCCATGGCAACCAAAAGAAAAATCTTTAAATATCTTCTTTTAAACAACCCTAAGAGCTAGAGCTTAGATATTTAGCATGAAACATCTTCTAGTGAGTGTCTACAAAGTTTGTTCAAATAAAAGCCCTGGGGTCAAAATTGGCCCCGCCCCAGGGGGTCATTGATTTTCCCTATATGCATATAGTAAAAACTTAAAAAATCTTCTTTTAAAGAACCCAAAGAGCTAGAGCTAAGATATTTGGCATGAAACATCTTTAGTGAGTGTCTACCAAGTTTGTTCAAATAAAAGCCCTGGGGTCAAAATTGGCCCCGCCCGGGGGGTCATTGATTTTCCCTATATGCATATAGTAAAAACTTAAAAAATCTTCTTTTAAAAGAACCGTAAGAGCTAGAGCTTAGATATTAAGCATGAAACATCTTCTAGTGAATGTCTACCAAGTTTGTTCAAATAAAAGCCTGGGGTCAAAATTGGCCCCGCCCCAGGGGGTCATTGATTTCCCTATATGCATATAGTAAAAACTTAAAAAATCTTCTTTTAAAGAACCCAAAGAGCTAGAGCTAAGATATTAAGCATGAAACATCTTCTAGTGAGTGTCTACCAAGTTTGTTCAAATTAAAGCCCTGTGGTCAAAATTGGCCCCACCCCGGGGGGTCATTGATTTTCCCTACATGCATATAGTAAAAACTTAAAAAATCTTCTTTTAAAGAACCATAAGAGCTAGAGCTAAGATATTTAGCATGAAAACATCTTCTAATGAGTGTCTACCAAGTTTGTTCAAATAAAAGCCCTGTGGTCAAAATTGGCCCCGCCCCAGGGGGTCATTGATTTTCCCTATATGCATATAGTAAAAACTTAAAAAATCTTCTTTTAAAGAACTCAAAGAGCTAGAGCTAAGATATTTAGCATGAAACATGTTCTAATGGGTGTCTACCAAGTATGTTCAAATAAAAGCCCTGGGGTCAAAACTGGCCCCGCCCGGGGGGGGGCTCATTGATTTTCCTTATATGTGTATAGCAAAAACTTAAAAATCTTCTTTGAAAAAACCCAAATAGCTAGAGTTTAGATATTAAGCATGAAACATCTTTAAGTAAATATCTACAAAGTTTGTTCAAATAAAAGCGCGTGGGTCAAAACTGGCCCTGCCCCAGGGGTGTCATTGTTTTTAACTATATGTGTATAGTAAAAACTTTAAAAATCTTCTTTTAAAAAACCCAATGAGCTAGAACTTAGATGTTTAGCATGAAACATCTTCTTATGGGTGTCTACCAAGTCTGTTCAAATAAACAAATAAAAAGCCCTTGGGTAAAAATTGGCCCGGGGGTTGGGGGGGCCTATATACAGGTGAGCGACCTCAGGGCCATCATGGCCCTCTTGTTTTATTGCCCATGGTAAATGTTAATGTTGTCTTTGATTGTTTATGGCTGTGCATATTTCTGGCTTTAATGATAGGTACTTAAATTTACTACAGCACCTCTAAACTATGTTACATTAAAGTTTATTACATTGAAAAAGAGTCACAAAATGTCGGTCATATGTACAATTCACTCCTGTTTGTCGTAATAAGTTTTTCCAGGGTAAACACGCAGGGCTTGTATATATTATCTGTTATAAAGATTTGTGACAGGTTATATAATGACCATAAATAGTTGTAAGCTTATATTGTCCAAGCAACTAAACAAGGCTTATATAGCAAAAGTCTATGGCGTTTTTTGACTCTTCTTTTGCGAGCCTGTTCTTTGTTTGATGGTGAAAGCAGTCAAAAATTCTGCCAATGGCATGGATTTGTTCTTATATACAAAACGGCTCTTGTTATAAGCGCCACCTCTTGAGTAAGTCACAATAGGTCAAACAATCCTCCATGGACTTTGGATGTTTTGACCTTGACCTACTATAGTGTCTTCTTTATGATGAGTACACCTGGGGAAGGATCTGGGGATTTATAGCAAACAAAGGTTTTAGTTACATGGTCATATAACCTGTCTTGGTTATCCATGAAAATGCTTCAACATTATACGATTATATTGATATCAGTAATATAGATGTGAAAATTGTCGGGTGAAAATGGATCTAAGACAAATAATAAATTAATGCAGTAGTATGGCAACACTTTGAGATTTAAATTGAGATTTGTGAATGTTTAAGGGGTATAAAGCTCTATCTTGTGAAAATTTTATAGAGGATATTTGTTAAGTTCAGTGTATATAAGATCGGAATATATTTCACCGAGTGAGCACCAAAAGGTATATTTCACGAGTGGCGCAGCCACGAGTGAAATGTGAACTTTTGGTGTTTACGAGGTGAAATATATTTCGATCTTACACTAAACTAAACAAATTTTCTTTTAATTACATGCAATCAAATGTTAAAAAGGACATTTTTACCTAATAATCAATGAATAGCGCGCCAAATAATTATACAACATGACGTCATTTACGACATCACGTTATAAAGTTGGTTTCCAGTTCTGTGTACACTGGTATTTCACTGAAACATATATTTCTATTAACCATCGAAAAGCATGTAATAAAATAAGATTTATTAACGGTTAAATCGTATTGTGTCCATGATTTTAAGATTGATTCTCAAAAGAGTTGTAACATAGAATGACTCAGTTTTTACACTCATGAAAATTGTATGTAAACAAAATAAAATATTTTTGATGTTTCAGATCTGGTGAGTTGGAATGTGACACTGTCAAAAAATGTGTTTCTTGAAAGACTACAGTCAATTAAGAAACTGGAGACCACTTTGTACTTGTCCAGCAATAAACAAGCTCTACAGTTTGTGTGGAGGAGACCAAATTCAGGTAATATTCATAGAGTACCTAATACTTTCATTAGACTTGTCATTTTTGGAACCTTGATGAACGAAATTTTTATACAAAAACTGGTAGTTTAAATAAAATTGAAGTAAGGCAATCAGTGCATGGACGTGATGTTGTCGCGATATTTAATAATATTTACATTATTTCTAAACCAGTCTGACATATCATTTTACAATATCCTATAATTGACCAACATATCGTTTAACAATATTCCTAAATCAGTCTGACATAGCATTTAACAGTACTACTTAACCAGTCTGACATTTCATTTAACAATATTTCTAATCCAGTCTGCCATATCATTTTACAATATTCCCTTACCAGTCTAACATAATATTTTACAATTATTCCTAAACCAGTCCGACACATCATTTTACAATACTCCAAAACCAGTCTAAGTTCTTTTCATTTAACATTATTCCTGAACCAGTCTGGCATATCATTTAACATTACTCCTAAACCAGTCTGACATATAATTTTACAATATTCCCTTACCAGTCTAACATATTATTTAACAATATTCCTAAACCAGTCTGACATATCATTTTACAATACTCCAAAACCAGTCTGACATATTTAATAATATTCCTGAACCAGTCTGACATATCATTTTACAATATTCCAAAACCAGTCTGACATATCATTTAATAATATTCTGAACCAATCTGTCTTATCATTATACCCCCAAAAACGAAGTTTGGGGGGGTATATAGGAGTCACCCTGTGGTCGGTCGGTCGGTTGGTCGGTCGGGCGGTCGGTCGGTCCAGACGTCCGTTGCATTTTCCTTGTCCGGAGCATAACTTGAAAACTAATGGTTGGAATTCAATATAACTACATACAATGGTCAAGCACATTGGGAGGAAGTGCAGTGCACAAGAATCATAACTCTATCTTGACTAATTACAGAGTTATTGCCCTTTGTTACTTTTCCTTGTCCGGGGCATAACTTGAAAACTACTGGTTGGAATTCAAAACAACTTCATACAATTGTCAAACACAATAAGGGGAAGTGCAGTGCACAAGAACCATAACTCTATCTAAAGTAATTACAGAGTTATTGCCCTTTGTTGCTTTTCCATTGCTTTTTTTTTTGACTGTTGCATTTTCCTTGTCCGGAGCATATCTTGAAAACTAATGGTTGGAATTCAATATAACTACATACAATGGTCAAGCACATTGAGAGGAAGTGCAGTGCGTAAGAAACATAACTCTATCTTGACTAATTACAGAGTTATTGCCCTTTGTTACTTTTCCTTGTCCGTGGCATAACTTGAAAACTACTGCTTGGAATTCAAAACAACTTCATACAATTGTCAAACACAATAAGGGAAAGTGCAGGGCACAAGAACCATAACTCTATCTAAAGTAATTACAGAGTTATTGCCCTTTGTTGCTTTTCAAATGCCTTCTTTTTTTTGTCCGAAGCATAACTTGAAGACTAATGGTTGGAATTCAATATAACTACATACAATGGTTAAGCACATTGAGAGGAAGTGCAGTGCATAAGAACCATAACTCTATCTAAAGTAATTACAGAGTGATTGCCCTTTATTACTTTTCCATTGCTTTCTTTTGTCCGGACCATAACTTGAAGACAAATTGTTGGAATTCATTATAACTTCATACAATGGTCCAGCATATTGAGAGGAAGTGCAGTGCACAAGAACCATAACTCCATTTTGACTTATTACAGAGTTACTGCCCTTTGTTTCTTTTCCTTGTCCAGAGCATGACTTTAAGCACTGGTTGGAATTCAAAACAACTTCATACAATGGTCAAGCACAATAAGGGGAAGTGCAGTGCACAAGAACCATAACTCCATCTTGACTAAGTACAGAGTTATTGCCCTTTGTTACTTTTCCTTTGCTTTCTTTTGTCTGGACCATAACTTGAAGACTTATTGTTGGAATTCATTATAACTTCATACAATGGTCAAGCACATTGAGAGGAAGTGCAGTGCATAAGAACCATAACTCCATCTTGACTAATTACAGAGTTACTGCCCTTTGTTACTTTTCCTTGTCCAGAGCATGACTTGAAAACTACTGGTTGGAATTCAAAACAACTTCATACAATGGTCAAGCACAATAAGGGAAAGTGCAGTGCACAAGAACCATAACTCCATCTTGACTAGTTATAGAGTTATTGCCCTTTGTTACTTTTCCTTGTCCAGAGCATAATTTGAAAACTACTGTTTGGAATTCAGTACAACTTCATACAGTTGTCAAGGACATTCAAAGGAAGTGCAGTGCACAAGAGCCATAAATCCATTTTGACAAAATACAGAGTTACTGCCCTTTGATACTTTTCCTTGTCCGGAGCATAACTTAAAACGTACAGGTTGGAATTCAAAACAACTTCATACAATGGTCAAGCACAATAAGAGGAAGTGCAGTGCACAAGAACTATGACTCTATCTTAAGTATTTATAGAGTTATTGCCCTTTGTTCTTTTTCTTTGTCTTTCTGGACTTATTACAGAGTAATTCAATTAAACTTCATCAATGGCCAACCACATTGAAAGGAAATGCAACATACATGAACCACAATTATCTTTAATTGCCCACAACCATAACTCTATGTTTCAATTCTTTTACAAGGTATTCTGTTACTAGTAACATCCTCATTTCCGAAGCAGACTTGTGGGGGTATTAATCACATTTAGTGATAGTTCTAGTTTAACAATATTCTGAAACCAGTCTGACATCATTTAACAATATTCCCTTACCAGTCGAACATCATTGGTAATAATCCTAAGCCAGTTTGAATTAACATTTTCAATGTTCCTAAACCAGTCTGACCTCATTTGATTCACCATATTCCTAAACAGTTTAGTAAACCAGTCTTACAAACTCTTCCAAAATATTATATGGTATTTATAAATCAGGCTGATGATTGATATACAAGTAAAACAATGTGTTTATATGGTACAGGTTTGGAGATTCATGTGAAGGCATCTGATGTGTACCTTATACCAGAATATGTTGATGTAGACCATAAGGATCATGATGATGAGGAATTTGTCATGAAAGCCAATACTTTTCCAGAGGACATCAAAAACTTACTAAGATCAATTAGAAGAAGCCATTGCAGGTACTTCAGCCAGTTTGATTATTGATGTGTTTGGGTTTGAATGCCCCCGTTTCACGAGGGTGTGGGGGACAAAGATTTGCCCATGTCTGTCCATCCCACTGCCACTTTAACAGTGAAATGTAAGGGCATGTCATGTAAAGGGGATATACTCCATGCTGTTGTCTGGTTGTCAGTTTGTCAGAGACATAACTTAAAAACTATTGGAGGTATCATCTTGAAACTTTTGGGTGCCCTGCTGGTGTGGCTAGACTGTGTGTATGGGGGTGGGGGAGGCTCCCTGCTGGTGTGGCTAGACTGTGTGTATGGGGGTGGGGGAGGCTGCCTTTTATAATGTTGCCTTGCCATGTTGGTCTTTGTTCTCATTTGAGCCGTGCCATGACAAAACCAACATAATGGGTTTGCGACCAGCGTGGATCCTGACCAGCCTGCGCATCCGCGCAGTCTGATCAGGATCCATGCTGTTCGCTATCAGTTTCTCTACTTGAAATAGGGTTGGTAAGCGAACAGCATGGATCCTGATCAGACTTTGCTGGTCGCAAACGCATTATGTTGGTTTTGTCATGGCACGGCTCATTTCTTTTGCAAATATCTAGACAAAGTGCAGTGATTTGGTACTTACTGTTCCTCGAAATTGTTCATACTTTATTTTTGTCTGGTGCAAAAACTGTCCTTGTGTATTAAGTACATTTAAACTGTACATTGAAGAGATCTCATGTAGGCAAAGTGACCATAACCTTTTTTTTTTCTTCATAATTTTTTATTTATTGTTCTTTGTAAGTTTTTCATAATTAATTTTTTTCTAGAGCATTTTACATGTAACTCACAAAGTGTTGGAAGATTTCAGCACAGCTGCCTCGTACATTATAATGATTGAAATTAGGCAACATGTTGCATTGGAAAAATGATACCTCTGTTCTACATAATATTACAAGCTTGCACATCTGTTTATCTTCTGCCGTCTTTGTAAAGCAACAATTTTAATGGCTATTTTATTATTCATATTCTCAGTACGAAATCATGTCAGAGCTTACAATACATAATAGCTTGTCACTAAGTTATTTCCAAGTAAAACTTGATTTTTATGCATTTAATAATAATTTTGTTCATCATGTTTTCACAATATGCTTTAGTCCCCTCACTCAGCTTGAAAGTGAGTGCATGATCCAGGGATGGCAGGTTCAATCCTCAGGCAGGGCAAAATTTATTCTGTGACAATTGTTATAGGGTTTGTAAGTGAACAGAATGGATCCTGATCACACTGGTAAGTTATCCAGGAAAGTCGATAAGGTGGATCGACTGCCCACATTATGACCAAATAATTTGTTAAAATTGGTATAAAACCAGATAAACAAACAAACAAATATAACATGTTTTACCAACTTTATTTCAGGCACCCTTTAACAGAGGAGTATGAACTTAAATTAGACATTGCTAAGAATATTGCCACCCCTGCCAGGGAGTTTCCGTGTGATTCTAGAAAAAAAAGCCCAAAATGCCCTGACGGTTATAAAGATGGTGACATCTATGTTTTTCAGAGACTTGATAGACTGTGTCCTAAGGTTAGTACAGATTTAGAAATATTGTGGCCAAAACTTTGAGGTTTTTTTTGTGACAATAATTTTAAAAACCGCAATCCTATTCAGGTAGATTTTTGTCCTAAATGATATTTTCTTGAAATTTTTTTAGCTCACCTGAGCATGCTCAGGGTGAGCTTTTAGGATCGATGATTGTCCGTCGACCGTCGTCCGTTCACATTTAGTTGTTAACACTCTAGCGGTCACATTTTTGCCTCAATCATCATCAAACTTGGTCAGGATGCTTATCTAGTTGATAGCTCAGATGAGTTCGAACATGGGTCATCTCGAATGAGAAACTAGGTCACAAGGGCTAAAAATAGAAAAACCTTGTTAACACTCTAGAGGTCACATTTTTGCCTCAATCATCATCAAACTTGGTCAGGATATTTGTCTAGGTGATAGCTCGGATGAGTTCGAACATGGGTCATCTCGGATAAAAAAGTAGGTCACCGGAGCTAAAAATAGAAAAACCTTGTTAACACTCTAGCGGTCACATTTTTGAATCAATCATCATCAAACTTGGTCAGGATGCTTATCTACTTGATAGCTCGGATGAGTTCGAACATGGGTCATCTCGGATGAAAAAGTAGGTCACCTGAGCTAAAAATAGAAAAACCTTGTTAACACTCTAGCGGTCACATTTTTGCATCAATCATCATCAAACTTGGTCAAGATGCTTGTCTAGGTGATAGCTCGGATGAGTTCGAACATGGGTCATCTCGGATGAAAAAGTAGGTCACCGGAGCTAAAAATAGAAAAACCTTGTTAACACTCTAGCGGTCACATTTTTGCATCAATCATCATCAAACTTGGTCAGGATGCTTATCTAGTTGATAGCTCGGATGAGTTCGAACATGGGTCATCTCGGATGAAAAAGTAGGTCACCGGAGCTAAAAATAGAAAAACCTTGTTAACACTCTAGCGGTCACATTTTTGCATCAATCATCATCAAACTTGGTCAAGATGCTTGTCTAGGTGATAGCTCGGATGAGTTCGAACATGGGTCATCTCGGATGAAAAGTAGGTCACCGGAGCTAAAAATAGAAAAACCTTGTTAACACTCTAGCGGTCACATTTTTGCATCAGTCATCATCAAACTTGGTCAAGATGCTTGTCTAGGTGAAAGCTCGGATGAGTTCGAACATGGGTCATCTCGGATGAAAAACTAGGTCACCGGAGCTAAAAATAGAAAAACCATGTTAACACTCTAGAGGTCACAATTTTGCCTCAATCATCATCAACCTTGGTCAGGATATTTGTCTACAGTACTGGACACGCGAAACCCGCACAATTCGCGTATTCGCGGCGAACTCTCATGCTTTATAACGCGAGCGAATTCGCGGCAACTTGAGACAATCGCCGCGAATTCAACTCGCGGCGATTTTGCCGTGAACATTTGCCGCGATTCGCGGGGAATAATACATGTTCATTTGTATAATAAATGTAGATCTATTTATAAGTGTAGTTTGTGAACTTGAAACCAGATATACATGTACAAGTACGAAAATTAATTAGTAGATCTACATGAAGTTGTATCAAGAAAATCTTGTAATTTGCTAAAATGCCCTTTCTCTATTTATCTTTGATGCCAACAGCAAATATAAATAACCACGGCGAAATCAAATAACACCGTTAAAAACTTTCCGTGAATGGCGGAATCATGACCTCAATGTATAAATGCGACGCAGTACAAGTATGCGGCTCCATCTGCAGGTAAATAGTGTGAATGTACACGTGTAAAACTATTTTTAGGGGGGGGGGTACATATTGATTTTAAAGTAGAGATATAAATATAATATATGTGTAAAAAGATATTTAGTTACATAAAAAGATACATAATTGATACGACATTAACTTGTTCATTTCTAAATGTAGTGGATCACCGGGACATTTCGTTCTCTCGGGTGATCATTACTCAATTTATTACACGTTTGTAAAAAATAACACACGCAAGATCTGTCTGCTATAATTTCTGAATGGCGGATATTTCCACCCCTGTTTTAAAAATGTTAAAATATTTAATTGTTAGTTACCGAAAATTATCGCCGATTGTTGAAATTCCATAGCGCTAAAAGACACAAAAACACTCGCGCAAAAAGAAGCATCCATAAATAAAAGGAATATAATGTTTCCATTGTTAAATAATAAATACAAAATTTACACACGAAATGACCTCTGACAAATGACTGGTCGGCTCTTCTGAAGAATCTGTGAATCTTTGATGTTTACACACCTGTAGTTGTTGCCGAATCATCAAAGAAATGCCGACACTCAATCGACTTCCACCTCTTTTTTATATATCAGAAAAAAACTGTCATTTCTTTTTGTCAAGGAATGATTACACATGTTTAATTATTGCTCAAGTAAAAAAAATGTTGGATATTGATTGTGTCAATTATTGACATATTATTAATCGTAAGTGCATTTTGATTGTGATATTTTATTTACATTTTAATGATCTTGAAGATATTGTGCAATACTTGTGTCTGCTATCAAAACAATAATGCATATGAAAGGATATTTTTTTCGGTCAATTTTATGACCACGCTTCTACCAGAAATGTTTTATTGCATGGGCTTAAAGTATTTAATCAGTGTCGTCAGTCATAAACAAACGAACATGTACCCCAAAGCACATTAAAATTACCACATGGTAAACTAGTGACCATATAAATGCTTTACAAATATTCATTAATTTGAAAAAAAAAATTTAATCCCGTTTCCACACCTTAATTTGATACGTGCTATTATTAGTTAATTCAACTTAATTACCGCGCGCATGCAGTACTGCGTGACGTAAGGTTATTATCCTTCCCTGGTTGGTCGCTATTTATGTAAATACTTTAAATAGTAACACCCTAATTTTATGCACAGAATGCCCTCATGAATGATCACTCGTTACTTTACATATTAAATGTATGATTAAACTCCGATTTTATTTTTGTTTTCGAGGGAATATTTTGGGTCAAATGCCCTGGCTGATTTGGCGGGAATAAAAAAAAATCTGATTTGCATCTTGCTACTCATCACCTACTCATGCACCTGGCATTTTTTACTCGTGAAATTGAAGGTAAAGAATGTCAATTTAAGTGATAAAACTTTTACAATTTTCAACAATCATAATTAGCGTATTAGAAGTAATAATTAGTTACACCTGTGAATCGGTGCTAAATGTCGCTTTGCATTGTTCTAAAAATAGAATATGTGCGAAAGTAAACAATGGATTTTAATTACATTTGTATTATTATCAAAATAACAATTGGACAATTTGTTATCGTGCGTTCTTTGATGTAGTACCAATTACCTTTTGTAATTTCAATCTCGTTTTATTGTTTACAAATTATTTATTAATACAATTATTGCTGAAGATTCGCCGTAAATTACGGCGATACATCGCGGCGATTTTTCGTGACCCGCCACGAAATTCGGCGAACTTGCACGCGGCGATGTTTTACCGCGAAGTGTCCCGTCGCGACATAGACTACACTCGCGGCATAACGCGACTTTTGCGGGTTTCGCGTGTCCAGTACTGTAGGTGATAGCTCAGATGAGTTTGAACATGGGTCATCTCGGATGAAAAAGTAGGTCACCGGAGCTAAAAATAGAAAAACCTTGTTAACACTCTAGCGGTCACATTTTTGCATCAATCATCATCAAACTTGATCAAGATGCTTGTCTAGGTGATAGCTCGGATGAGTTCAAACATGGGACATCTCGGATGAAAAACTAGGTCACCGGAGCTAAAAATAGAAAAATCTTGTTAACACTCTAGTGGCTACTGTTGTGATCCAAATATTCTGTTAATTGGTCTGAAAGTTTGTTTTGATGATTTCTAAGTCAAGATTGAACATGGGTCATCTTGGATGAAAAACGAGGTCACACCGCCCAAATATGGAAAAACCTTGTTAACATTCTAGTGGTCACATTTTTCGACTCAATTATCATCAAACTTGGTCAGGATGCTTGTCTAGGTAATAGCTTGGATGAGTTCAAAATCGCATGTGAAAACCTGTGACTTTTTTTCATGAATGTTAAAACATCATTGCTGGACTCGATGATCCTTTCTGTAATTTTTGCCTGAGGAAATTATTTCTCTGAAGGTGACTGCTAAGTATGCTTATACTTGGCATTTGGGTTATAAATTAATTAATTAAATACAATAGATTTTGTCTATTAAATTTCTGTTATTAATGTTTCTTCAACCAGCATCTTATTGATTTCTTATCAGGTGTTGAACTTTTATTTCAGGTTGACACAAGCAGAAGTCAGCCTTTTGGATATTTATCAAACAATATTCTTTGTTCTGGGAACACAGAAATGTTGAAATCAATCTTCAATATGGAGGTAGATGATCCGACCTTTCTTAACTTCCCGAGTGAAGAGTGCAAAAAAAGTGAAGAGAATTGTGGAAGATGTTTGTCAAGGGATGCTTGTGACAGGGGTTTGTATTATAGTCATTTTTTTCACCTAGTAAACATAGTTTGGGCAGGGGGCCTATATTGTATAATTGATATTTTCATGAAGCCAAAATTTTGCAAAAGAACATTTCAGACTAATTGGTGAGTTTTTACTTTATGTTCTGTTAAATTTGTATGAATCACTATGTGAGTTCCAATGCTTCCATTATCACTGTAACATGTCCTTAGGTGTTGGTATAAATAATGTTTAACAAAAGTTCAAGTTTAAACTTGGATAAGTCTATTTGTTAAAATCTTATAGTCTTCATGTTTTGAAAGATATCAATAATTCAGTTCAGAATGTGAGGCATCCGTGGCCGGGTGGTTAATGCTGTTGACTTCAACCCACTTGCCTTTCATCACTGTGGGTTTGAATCCCGCAGGGACTTCAGATTCTTTCATGTGAGAAAGCTATTCAGCTGGCTTACAGTATGTTGGTGGTTCTACTCAGGTGCCCGCTTGATCATGCCTGAAATAATGAACAGAATGGCATCTCTGAGGTCTTCCTCTACCAATAAAGCTGGAAAGTCGCCATAATTATGACCTCTTCTGTTTTGGTACAATGTAAAACCCAACCAATTCTTAATGCTTGCATTTTCCAAAGATAAAACCTATCTGAAGCGTAGATGGTGCTATGTTATAGTAGTAATTAGGGAATTTTTGCTTGTATTTTTCAGGTTCAAATTTAACCGACTGTTGTAACATTGGCTGCCATCAGTTAACAGACTGTAAAAGATATTTCTCGGCTCAGTGCCCAAACGCACCTATAGAATGTGCAAGGGGTGAGGTCATTTTATATTATCATAGGCTTTTTATGAATATTTTCCATTCATATAATAAGCAATTTCATTCCCACTACAATAAGAAGAAGAATGTTTTTATGATATATCATTTAATCCTAGGGGAAAATACATTTTAAAGTTTTTATAAAATAATGTTTTCACATTTTAAGGTTTCCATATTATAAGGTTTTCACATTTCACATGATACTGTTTTCACATTTTAAGGTTTTCACATGTTCAGGTTTTCTCATTTAAAATGATAAGGTTTCAACTTTTTTAGCGTTTTTTCTTTACAAAGTATTTTTATTTTAAGGTTATCTACAATGATTCGCACATTTAAAGGTTTTCACAGTAGAAGGTTTTTTACATTTAAAGGTTTTCACATTATAAGGGTTTCACATTTTAAGGTTTTTCACATCTTAAAGTTTTCACATTTCACATATTTTCACATTTTAAGGTTTTGCATAAAATTTCAGTTTAAAATTTTTTTACATCATAACATTTTCACTTTTTTTACTAAAAGGTTATAAGGTTTTCACATTTTAAGGTTTTTACATTACAAGACTTGTTTGTTACTGACCTTGCAATCACTTTGGTTAAGATTCAGATTCCAAAGTTAGATAGACAGATTGATACTTTTATATCCTCCAATATTTGAAGAGCTGATTGTATTTGAAGAGCTGGAAACAAAAGAATGAATTGCATATTTTATTTATACCTGATCTGTCCTGTCAGTATTGGGAAAGTTGTTTACATACTACACAAATTTTTATCCTTAGACTTTGTTAAAACAATGCTATAACTTTTCACATATCAAGTAAAGAAAATATTTAAAGCATTTGTGCATAACAAAGATTTTCATATTTATTCAGGGGACATAACCAAGTTCGGTATCATGCCAAGATATCCTAGCCTCATGAGTCAGTTTTCCTGCCATCTGCGCCACAGTCCGCCACAATACCTCTACCAACTTTCGTACGAGGTGAAAATACCCAGCATGCAAGATTTTAGTCTCGGAACTCGTAAGAAGAACATACTGTACAGGGACTTCTTGGACCAAAATAGTACAGATTTAGTGGATTACCTTATAATGAGGCACCATACAGGTACGTTTTTATTTTATGTAGGTTGACTTTTAAAATAATACTCGGGCTAGTCGGCTCATCGTGTAATAGCAAAATGAGGGACTTTTGTAACACCAATGCAAAACCATATCACCATGCACATGCATTTAGGTTTGCCTTTCTAATAAGCGGCATATAAAATAATTTAAGTGCCATAAGGATAAAGATTATACTTTTGAATATCACTTCTTCTCAAGGAAATTAACAAACAAGCCACACAACCACGAACATTCAGTTTTTATTTAAAACATATTGCAGATGTTTTGGCTAGATGCCTTCATCAGTGCAAAACATAATAAAATTACCAAAAGCGATGTCAAAACAGAACACGTGTTAAAAGCGCAAAAAAGTTTTGGTGTTTATACTTTAACCAATGTAAGATTTCATAAAATAACATTGCCTCATGAAAGCATTACCTTGGCAACAATCACACAGAGGGTGTTGCCCAGGAGAGGTTGTACTGTATTTCAGTAGATCGTAGACATGAGGAAAGTTGTTTTAGTGAAACTATTATTCATTTGTTGTAAGAGTTCACTTCTTAAGACGTTCTGTATGGTTTTTATGAAAGTATGATGATATTACTTTGATATTTCATCAAAGGATACCGATTTCAAGATATCAAGTGAAGAATTTTTCTTATTAAAATTTTTCTTTAAAAATTTGTCAAATTTGTTTTCAACTTTTTATGAAAATTTTTGTTTCTTGATTAATAGAATACATAATTATGATGGTTAGAAAATTTATGCTATATTTTGTTTACTTTTGTTTGTTTGGTTGCGTTTTAAGCTGATTTTTAACAAATTGTTTTGTTTACAGAAACCAAATATGATGATGAAGTGATTCTTACGGGCAGATTTAGAAATCGCGACCCAAATAACGTCGAGGAGTATACCTTACATAAACTGAAAACCCCGCACACTTTTGATCGTTACCCTGGCTACAACCTTATACATCGAGGTCGGAATAAGTTTCACACAAGAATTCAGTTCGAAACTCCGTTTTTGTACTCAACTGACAATTGGAGGGAGTACAACTGTTCTTTTAACGTGTCGAAGATTTATCCAGCTCAGCCTATATACGAGAATTATGGGAGATTAGTTAAACCTGTTGATATCAAGAAGAGGGACGGGAAGTTTAATTACCAGATTCTATCGGAATCCACTACACCACACACAAGATTTTATATTCAAGGTATTACCATATTATTTTGATTATGAAATCATCATATTTAACTGCATGTTCCTATTATTAAAGGCACATTATACCTCAGAAACAAATAAAATTAGAAATGGCAAACATGAAATTGAAAAAAAAAAAAATAATGGTTTAGAGAAATGATAGATGTTTGTTACCTGTAAAAAAAGTACTGTATCTATATTTTGCTACTTTTATGTTTCATTATTTGACAAATGAGCCCTGTCACGTCACAACCAACATATTGCGTTTGCGACCAGCATGGATCCAGACCAGCCTACACATCCCCGCAGTCTGATCAGGATCCATGCTGTTCGCTTACCAACTGTATTACAAGTAGAGAAACTGATAGCGAACAGCATGGATCCTGATCAGACTGTGCGGATGCGCAGGCTGGTCTGGATCCATGCTGGTCGCAAACGCACTATGTTTGTTTTGTCTTGACGCGGCTCAAATGTCAAATAATGAACCATTAAAGTAGCAAAATATAGATACAGTAGTAATTTGACTTTTATACAAAATAGTAATTCACTATCACTGTACTTATTGCCAAAAAGCAACAGATGAAAGATGGTTTGATAATTGGCCAATGATACTTTACAATAAAAGCACATCAAAAAAATTAAAAAGCTTTTGAAAAATAAAAATTAAAGCATATCTGAGGCATAATGGGCCTTTAAAGCTGAACGTTGCAAGATTCATGATTTTTTTCCAGAAATTTTACAAATTTGGCGTTACCAGCTATAGACAACACATGTATAATTTAAAAGAAATAAAATTAAATTAAATTAAAAAAAATATCTATATAGAATTCTGTACCTAAATATCTATATAGAATTCTGTACCTATCAGTGAAAGTTTTAGGGTCTTTTCTGATGGTCGCCACCATTTTTGTATTGCCTCTACGGAGTAGTGGCGACATATAAGGATCACTTCTCCGTCGTCTGTCCGTCTGTCACAAAACTTTCCGGTTCAATGATTTTTGTCAGAGTTATGGCCCTTTAATAATTTTTATTTGTAAAGTTTGTCCGGACTTTTCGTCTTATACCACTAAAGCAATTTCAATGAAACTTTACAGGATTGATCTGTAGCTCAAGTCCTTGCGCATATTGCACGGGTTTTCCGGTTGAATGATTTTTGGCCGAGTTATGGCCTTTTGATAAATAGTGTTTTTTTCTGTGTGTTGCCAGATACACAAAAGCTTGTCCGGACTACTCCTCATAAACTACTTGTGCAATTTTATCCAAACTTTACAGGAATGATCAGTACCAAGTCTAGTTGTGCACTGTCTGTCCGTCTGTCATAAAACTTGTCCCAACATGAAATTGGCCATCATGAGGCGACACATGTGATCACTGATCGCTTTTGTTAATATTACACAATGATAAATAAAAAATGAAATAATTTTCTTCTGACTTTTGACTTCATAGGCTTTGTCTACTGTCATATTAGATTTTTTGTTAGACACTTTCTGTATTGTAAATAAATCAAATCTGTGTGAAAAGCATCTTGTTTACTTCTTGCAATCAAAGTATATTTGTTTATTTATTGCAGAGGATACATCCATCTTGTCCTACTATCGGGACACATACCAATCAGTTAGAATCAATCCATGGGACTTACAGGGATCCATGAGCTGGGATCCAGACACTTATCAATGGAATATAACTCTAACAGGTCTGAATTGAGGTTTTATACATGCTTACTTCCCTTTGTATTATGAGTATTACAGAGTATAGCTAAACTGCACAAATATCTATATGCATACATGCCATAATTTTTGGACAGCTTTCCGGGACACTTTTCACCGCGGCAATAATGGATGTGTAGGCAGTTGTGGAAAAGGGGGGGGGGGGGGTGTCAATCGTATAACTTTATTATATTTGGACGACTTTCTCCTGAATTTTAATGATAAACAGTTAATTTACTAGTTTTAGAAGTAGTCTTTTAGGTCGACATATTTATCATTTCATAGTATTTCATTATTTCATTTATCATTCCCTAAAAGCTGAATGGGCGCAGCCATGTTGTTCACCCGTTATATCTTAAAGTCGTGATAATTACTATATGTCACGTAATGCAATTCTTCCAGTCATAAAAACAAACACTGCAAGGTGATTTATTTGACACCTTTAACTTTTTATTTGATAGATATATTTACATTGTTTGTAATAATTAGACTTTCGGCAAGTTAGCAATTGATCTAAAAATTAATGATTATCGGGGATTAACGATAATTGTTAAGGGCCGTAAACCATTAATTAACCCGGCCATTAAACGCTGCCGAATTCAACAGAGAACGTTAATTGCCGATGCATGAAGAAAGGTATTGCCGAGGGGAATCGACAGTCGATAATTGGGGGGCTGTATATTGTAAACTTGTAAGTGTCAATGTTCCTGTGTATTATTGGTGCCAGGTCAGAATATGTTTTACGATCAAGAGGTGAAATGTGCGAGATTTGATTTAAGAAAATTTATGAACATGTTGCAAAATATCCTGGTTTTAATTTTTTTCCGGGATCAAATCGATGCCCGGGACATCTCCGGGACAGACATCCGATTTCCGGGACAATCCCGGGCATCCGGGACGTTATGGCATGTATGTCTATATGTGACATATTTTCCTTTCCTGTCAGAGATCTTCTATTTATATCACTTATAATGTTAGATTAGTGTTACATTAATTAACAACTACAGGGCGGTCATCATGAAGCAAGATCACTTGGTAACTAGAAAGTTTGGGTTGTTGCTCTAGGGATATTAAATTTATGCATATATCCCTAATCCATACATGCCATAACGTCCCGGATGCCCGGGACAGTCCCGGAAATAAGGTGTCTGTCCCGGAGGTGTCCCGTAAATGATTTATGTCCCGGTAAAAAAAAATCTAAAATAATCTACTGTGAAGCAAGAAATTTTACATTTTTATTTAATTTTATGGTCAAGTTTTTATAAGCTAGTCTAGAACGCTAATGATGATCGATTATCCCCTAACAGCATTGCAATGGTGACACTAATCCTTTGATTGGTATATATACGTGCCCCTTCCAACAAATAATTTTGATCAATTAAAAGATTAATTGTTTACCCCATGTGGCTTCCTATGCGAAAGTGTCATACATTGTAATTAAAAACTGGCCAGTATAAATTTAATCTGCCTGGAGGCAGTTATTAGTGGTCAAACACCGTGAAAATTACCGCTAAATTTGAGGTGATAAAATCTACAAGATTCAGCAAATGTTTCATGTAAACGACATGGCTAATTGTCATAACTTAACATAGCTTTATTCTATTCTGTGACTGATTGAATTAACGATGCCTAAATACTTGAAAAAGATAGAAAAACTATTAATGATTCTTTTGTTTATGGTGTCATTAAATTTGCAAGTTGTACCGGTAATATAGGTTGAATGCCACTATGTAAATTTATAAAAAAATACGATTGCTGATCAAAGCCCCACCTCCAAAAGAAAAGTGTCCCGGAAATGAGTGTAAAAATTATGGCATGTATGCCCTAATCTGTCTTACTGTTATTATCATATTAGCAGATTACAAAAAGTAATTCACCACAACATGTTTGTTAAGAAAAGAGCACATGTCAATGTTTGTGGTTATATCTATTGTTATTCAAATTAAAGTTCAGACTTGGGATCTATCAATTTTGGAGCTTTACTTTAAGAAGAATTGTTGTTGTTGTTATGAAGAGGTTCTTGCTCTACAGAGGGGCCTCTCTGCAGAGGTTTAATGTTTGTTAGTCTGAGGTGCATAAAAGGTTTAGATATTTGATTATTATAGCTTATTATTGTATCACATGAACCAAATTTTTGACCTTTGTATTCTATATTTGCAGGTTCTTTAACAGCATGCCCTGGAATCTTCACGCTAGAAATCTACACGGCTAATATGGCCACGCGACTTGTTGTGTACGACATGGTTATAAACTGTCCGCAGGAATTCTCAGCAAGTTTTGAAATTAAAAGGAACTCTGTAGATTTTGTTGACATTTTTGTCGCTGTGCTTAACGATTCGGTCTCAAGTTACAGGACAGTTCTTTCATCTGTCCAAGGACCACAATATTTTAAGGCTGCGGCTGCTAAGGCAGTTGCTATGGAGACTGGAGAAACGCCACCATGGCCTCCGATGGTGATTATAGTAGCAGTATGCTTCTGTGCCTCAGTTGTACTGATAATGCTGTATTTATACTGTGATAAAAAGAAGTCCAAGTTCATTCCGACCGATATAACGGTACCGAAACCGGACTTAGGACCTCAAATTACGCTCTTACAGAGTATTGACAAAGTAAACAAGGAGCAAGGACTAACAATTCACACAAAGTTTATTATGATGACACTTGTTGTGTTATATGTCATATATGCACTAATGTTCTCTTTCACGGCATTGTTCGCCTTGTTTCACGTGATACAAGGTCCGAATCTAGGTCAAGTGACTCTTACTACAAATACAAGCGAGCAAGTGCAGTTTCAAATGCAGAGAACATTAGATACTATAATTGAATATGAAAATAAAGAACTGGACCGTTTGTTGAGATTAACTGAACAGCGAATTACTGCTTGTAGTAATCATATGAAATCCTCGCTACGTACTGACGTACCTAGTGGAAATCATGAACTTCGTCGAGTATTGTTAACTTTATTCCGTAATAATGGAACAGTAGATAAGAAACTGTCAGAGTATTTTCACAACAGACAGTCTTTCTATCAAAATGAGATTAGTAAATTTTTAGATGAATTTAACCGAACACTTGATACAAAGTTACACAAACTTCAAATATCATATTTGTCGTATTTAAAATCAGTAGCAGAAAACCCGTGGTTTACGGTCCCGAAGGAAATTTTTATGCAGCAGCAGATATTAAGCGGACGCCCGATTAGAAAGATTACTGATGATTTACCAGGGTTTCTAACTTGGCTGGAAATTGATAAAGTACAAGAATTGTTTGAAATGAAGGACATGATTATGACCAGGTAACTTTCATGTTTCGTTTCTTTTTATTTTTTTACCCTATACTGCACTACTTTGTATATAATAGACTTCCCCTACGTCAAAATTACAGCTGTCCATTGTTATACATGTATATTCTGAAAAGGTTTCATTGAATAAGGAATTACATGGTATTTGTATATTTAGTCAAAAAAGAGAAAAAAAATTGTATTAAACAGAAAGTAGAAGTATTTTTTCTATAAACATAGGATTTATCTTATTCACCATGTATGAAATTTATTATAATTCTCTGGTACTACCGCCACTCATGAGCTACTTATTTTTATACCACTTGATAAAATTAAATCCTGCATGTCTAGGTGTAAAATTTGTTCAGGTGTAACACTTGTTCAGGTGTAACACTTGTTCAGGTGTAATGCTTGTTCAGGTGTAATATGTGTTTAATTCAGGTGTAACACTCATTTGTTTGTCTTGGTAAGAGGAATGGATGATATCAATTAACCCGGCCACTACTGGGATGTGACAGGATAATGTCAATTTGACTGAAGATAAACAGATTAAGCTTTATTTCTTTCACTTTTTTTCAGGCTTTTGAAGATGATGCCAAGTGTGGACTTTACCCACTTGGTGAACAAAACAGAGAACTTTGATCCAGCATCAGTTAACGTTGATTTCAAACCATCAGAAAACACGTTTAAATTTTCATATAACAACCCTGACTACATATCGAGCTGGAACTTTGACGACGACTTGGCAGCATTTCCGACTGTAAAACCTTCCCCCAAAAGAAATAAACTCCATATTTCCAATATTAAAGGAATAATTTATCCAGTATTCATTTGTGCATTTTTACTGTTAGATAGTCTTCTGCTTATTTACCGCTTTTCATGGATGGTGAAAAGTTTGAAAATGTTCAAGACTGGTTTAGAGGAGAGAATTCCGTACGATTCAATGACGCGCAAGATATATTTTATATTGACGGGGAAGGAGGTGCCCCGGCCTGAAGACAGTCTCGACCATCCATATGATTACTATATGCATAATAAGGAAAATATATGGGGAGATAATACTGAACTATATTTCATGTATTGTACTGGTACGACAAAAGCCAAAGAGGAAATTTTAAGGGAAATTTGGCATCACAAACAACAGCGTAATCCGAAACAAGAGGAAAAACCCAGTGATAAAAACTGCTTACTTAGTTACTTTATAAGTTGTATGAAATCTTTGTATAGATTACTTATTTCTCCCGTTTTCTGGAGAATGGTATTCATATGTGGATTTGTGTTAATTTTATTCCTTGTTGCCAAGGCAACCAATGACCTTGTTACTCTAGAGTCAGCCATGTTTTTATTGGACACTGGGGCGATGTTGCCCATTCTGGAACGTCAGAATGACATAACAAACACTGTTATATCGGAGTATGGCTCTTACCTCAATGACTTTCTAGTTGGTTACAAGGAGAAGTTAGATGGCGAGGTACAGACTATTAACAGTTTACTCCTCAATGTTGCAGAACGACAAGTAAGTTTTCTTTATTTTTTCTTCTCTTTCTTTCTTAAAGTGGCCTACAGCTTTTCATCATTTGTTGTTTCAAACTAAGTTTATCAGTAATTTTATCTTGGAAAAGTGCATCATATCACTGTAAAGTCTTCTTTTTCTTCTTAAGCATAAGTGACGTTGGTTTCTAAAAATAGAAGACCAAGGAAACAAATTGTCCGTTCTACTAATTTACATATAGAGACCAGACTGGTAGATTAGAGGTATCGGGGGCTTTCTTTATTGTTTTTGTATTATGGCTAAATTCATTTTCCACCTTATTATACGCCCGTTTGAAAAACGGGACGTATTATGGGAACGCCCCTGGCGGGCAGGCGGGTGGCGTCCAATTTTGTCCGGAGCATATCTCCTACATGTATGGAGGAATTTTAATGAAACTTCATAGAAATGTTCACCACTATGAGGAGCAGTGTCGCGCACATGAACCAGGTCTATCGGTCAAGGTCACACTTAGAGCTCATTGAAAAATGCTTGTCCGGAGCAAAACTTCCACATGTATAGAGGGATTTCAATATTACTTGGCACAAATGTTCACCATTGTGAGGCGGAGTGTCGCGCGCAAGATTCAGGTCCTTGCAGCCAAGGTCAAGGTCACACATAGAGGTCAAAGTTCAGATAAAAATATGAAGATGTGTATATGGACCATTTAGTCATCATTTATTGAGGGATTGTAACACAAATGGTCATTATCAAGACTATGGCTGTGATACATATAATTTAGGTCAATATATACAAGGTCAAGGTCACTAAAGATGATGAAATATCCAGATTTTGTCCGTAGCATATCTCCTTGACGCATGGAGGGATTTTAATGAAATTTCATAGAAATGTTCACCATTATGAGAAGCCATGTCACGCACATGAACTAGGTCAAAGGTCAAGGTCACACTTAGAGCTCATTGAAAAACGCTTGTCCGGAGCAAAACTTCCACATGCATAGAGGGATTTCAATATAACTTGGCACAAATGTTCACCATTGTTAGGCGGAGTGGTCGCGCACAAAATTCAGGTCCCTGCGGCCAAGGTCAAGGTCACACATAGAGGTCAAAGTTTAGATAAAAATATGAAGATGTGTATAGGGACGATTTAATCATCATTTATTGAGGGATTGTAACACAAATGGTCATTATCATGACTACAGCTGTGACACATGTACTTTAGGTCAATATATGCAAGGTCAAGGTCACTAAAGATGGTGAAATATCCAGATTTTGTCTGGAGCATATCTCCTACATGTATGGAAGAATTTTTATAATACTTTATGGAAATGTTCACCACCATGATATGTATTGCTCCATGCATGATCCAGGTCTCCAGGTCAAAGGTCAAGGTCACACTTAGAGCTCATTGAAAAACGCTTGTCCGGAGCAAAACTTCTACATTCATAGGGGGATTTCAATATAACTTGGCACAAATGTTCACCATTGTGAGGCGGAGTGTCGTACGCAAAATTCAGATCCCTGCGACCAAAGTCAAGGTTACACATAGAGGTCAAAGTTCAGATAAAAATTTGAAGATGTGTATAGGGACCATTTAGTCATCATTTATTGATGGATTGTAGCACAAATGGTAACATTCATGACTACAGGTGTGACACATTTAATTTAGGTTAATATTTGCAAGGTCAAGGTCACTGGAGATGATTAAATATCCAGATGTTGTCCGGAGCATATTTTCTACATGCAGGGAGGAATTTTAATGTTACTTTATAGAATTGTAGTGCCCTGCACATGAACCAAGTCTCTAGGTCAAAGGTGAAGGTCACAGTTAGAGCTCATAGAAAAACGCTTGTCTGGAGCAAAACTTCTACATGCATAGAGGGATTTCAATATAATTTGGCACAAATGTTCATCATTGTGAGGCTGAGTGCCGTGCATAAAATTCAGGTCCCTGCGACCAAAGTCAAGGTCACACATCCTGTGCATATCTTCCCTACTGATTTGTTTTAAGGTTCATTTAACAACACAGTGCCAAGAAGAAAAACTTGCTTGCTAGATAACACTTATCCATAATGCCCCCATCTCCATCTAAAACAATTTATCTAAAAATAACATACATTGTACAAAATATTTAGAAAAGCTGAAGGCCTCTTTATAAAGTTTACTTCTGGTTTTTAGCTTGTCTGTTTCGAAGAAAAAACATATAACGATCCCTACGATGTCATCATCAGTGTTGTTGTAGTCATGCAAAACTCTAATGTAGCCCATTATTCAAACATTTTTAAAGTTACATGTACATGTATATCAATATGAAATCCTTGCAAATTATAACAAGGTGCAGTTGTTAGGCAAGGGGCATAATTCTGAAAGATATATTTGTAGAGTTATGCCTCTTAGTTTCTAATTTTAACTTAGAATTTTTTACAAATGAACGTTTGCACTGCATATGGTGCTATTGTTATAATATTACATTTTACTGCTTGTAATTCATTCTTGAAAGGGGATTTTTTAAGTACAGATTTCTAAATTAAGAAAGAGTAGATTGGCGCAAATTTTGAATCCAAGTTGAATCCATTATGTTTTAAGCTAAACTTTTATGATTTAAATCGTTTTCAAGTATTTTTTTTTATCATTCTATGTATTTTATCAAGAAAGTTATAAAAGATTGATGTATGTATATCTTAAATAATAAGTAGTATAATTTTAACTTGTTTTTTTTTTTTTGCAGAATATGCTGCTGAATACAATGATCTCAGATATGTGCAATTTAGCGGGACTTGACGCTTGCACCGACGGAACAAATCTAGTCACAATGTCCTTAACCTCGTGTAATTTCTTGCCAATACATTCTAAAATGTTTGAAGGTAAGTTCTTTCTAGCAATTGTAATTATTTCATATTTTTAAATCTTTAATTCATGAACATTCTTTCCTCTTTGTCAGTACTGTAAAATAAGATATTTTTGTGAGGGCCAAATTTCAAAATTTCACAAACTCAGCATTTCCAAGATATTGGCAAGGTTAAGTTTTTACTAAAATCTTTGTTCAGGGAGGGATTTTTAGAAGATTACCAGACTGTTACTTGAGGTACTGTTTTAATTTATTGTCACCGTCAATATATCACCACTTATGTACAGTGGATACATCTCTGTTTGATGTATGACGCATAAATTTGAGCGTATCAGTGATAATTAATTTATGATTTACTTATTTTTTTCAATTTTTTTTTTTTTCAATTTTTTTTTCAGGTTTTCAAAAGTCAGTGCTTCTAGAATATATTCAGAAGGAGTTGTCCCCCTTGGTCCTGAATCTGCGAAGTATTTTATTTAGTTCCATGTACTTACTTCTCACGTGCGCAGCTGCAATGTTACTGTGTCAGATAACTGCACGTGTAATCTATATCCATTTGAAAAACTCGCGGCACGTGAAAATTACCAAAATTTATCAGTTGCCAAGCAGCGTTAACGACCAGTGGCAGGACACCCATTCTTTGCGAGAGAAGGAAATGTATAACAGTCAATCTGTGATTGCAGAGAGTTGCGAGAGCGGTGTTTATGATATGACAAATTAGATGAATTAAAATTTAATGTTCCATAGTTGTATTGTTCAAGGTGATAATTGTAAATTCAGAGTGATGTAGTAAGCATGGTGATAATTCTTAATCGAGCTTGAAAAAAAAGAGCAAAGAATCTGGTGATAAAATTGAATTGAAATAAATGATACACTGTGTTTGATTTGGGTGATAATGTTAAACTGAAGTAATGGTACATTGTGTTTGATTTGGGTGATAAATTTGAATTGAAATTATGATACACTGTGTTTGATTTGGGTGATAATTTTGAACTGGAAAAATGGTACACTGTGTTTGATTTGGGTGATAATTTTGAATTGAAATTATGATAGAAATTATGATGCACTGTGTATGAATTTGGTGAATTTTTTTATATGAAATTTGGTGATAATTTTGAAATGATGCTAAAACAATGGTACAGTATGTAACAATTATTTTAGTAAAGCTTTTGTGAAGTGTTAAAATATTACAGAGTCAGTTAATCAAATTTTTTAGACTTAAGTGAATCATTTAATATCATTTAATACATTCGTACATGATTCAAATAGTTTTCTCATTCATATAAATAAAATGTAAGCCTTTGAGTATTATATGCATACATTATATTGTTAAGAAAGGGAACATTTACCATATTTTTGCCATTTAACGCCCCAGAGAGTTTGTATTTTTTCAAAATGGATGAGCTAATTAGAACTTAAAAGTTTGCTTTAAAATATGTTTATGAAAGATACAATTCAATTATAAAAATTATTAATCATTCATTATTATGATATAATATATATATCTGGATTATGTTTTTGATATTACATTACTGGAATGTCAATAATGGTTATTTTTTTAAATGAAATTACAAAAATGTATTTGGACTGATATTTTATTACAGATTACTAATTATAGATTACTAAATCTATAATGTAAGATTTTTTTTCTTCTTCAAATTGTGGGTAGGGGCACTGTTTAGAGAGGGTGGGGGTATTAATTGGAAACAATATGGTATATAATGGGTTTTGCTCTGTTTCAAATTTGGAACGGTTAAATCAAAATGTAAGGGATCCACATAACAAAATTGAAAAATTCATGTAGCTACCAACTGAAAGATTGAAAGATCCTGACCAGACTGCACAAATGGTTTTGTCCATATTATTTAAGTCCATCCTAGATATTTAGCATGTTAAAAGTTCAACAAGTCACACAAGCCAAATTAGTTTATTTGTTTTAGTTGATGACAATTTTTGTTTTTTGAATATTGTTCTAAATTTTCATGTAAAAAAAGTATAAATCTGAAGGCATGCTGATTTAATTATTTAAATTTTCAGACGTTGATTTTGTCAACATAAAATATCACTTATATCATGTTGGTTTGATCTTACATATTCATTATAATGATCTACTGTATCTTGTGAAATAAAATTTATGAAAATAAGCTTTGTTATTTTGTTGTTAGGGTGAAAATTCCTTTTTTCTGTCTTGACGCACTCTGTCTATCATGAACTTGCAATTTTTAGCATTGTAATGTAATAATATTATTGACCGTAGTTAAACTGTACGGACAGACAGACGGACGTCCAGGCGAAATGAAAAAAGGGACCATTTCTTTTATCTTGTTTTGTTTAACAGAGGCCTCTTATTCTATTGTTACAGTTACGGAATTATAATAATAATAATAACAAGCAATTATCATAGTATTGCAAGCAATCCATAAGTCCCCTACCGGTTAGAACCCCAGCAACATTATTTGCAACAATATTTACAGAAAATTCCTTAGGATCCATGCGTTATTTATTGTTTTTGAAGATGAAAACTTGTGTATATATTCACATGTTCACTCACTATACACCCTTGGATGGGCATAATGTCACTTTAAGCCAATGCTTATGAGGGCATGAGAGATGTTGTACTTGAAATTGTCTGTCATGTATAAATTTTATACAACAAAGTCTGCAATTTTCAACTACATGTATTTATTTTTTGCTTTCATAGTTCTCAAAAGATATTTCAAGGGTTTTGCTTGACTGGGGGTGGGGAGGGGGTGCTGGGATGAAGGGAGGGAGAATTCAACAAGGGCGCTGCAATAAAATAATTGAATTAGGGAAGAGGCAATTAAATCTATTAAATTTTCTGAAACATATATGAGCCGAGTCACGACAAAACCAACATAATGGGTTTGCGACCAGCATGGATCCAGACCAGCCTGCGCATCCGCGCAGTCTGATCAGGATCCATGCTGTTGGCTATCAGTTTCTCTACTTGCTATAGGGTTTGTAAGCGAACAGCATGGATCTTGGTGTGGATCCATGCTGGTCGCAAACCCATTATGTTGGTTTTGTCATGACGCGGCTCATATATTAATCAACCTTATTGTGTTATCGACTCTAACCCCTCGACTACGGAGGCGGTTTATTGTACAAAGTGAATAACTGAGCAGGACCAACATTTCTGTGTATATTGTTATGCACCAGGTTGTAAGTCCGTCTGTAAGCAACTTCGTGTCTGGTCTGTATCTAGAACTGGTGGAAGAAAATTGAACTGGGAGTCACTTAATTTATATAGACTTCTGAAGAAGAAAAATACCATTTAATTCTTACTGACTGTAAAATTACAATGCTAAGAGACAACATATTTAGCATGTAACATTAACCTTGTTGACCTTTACAAAACTAATATTAATCATGCCCCTTTAGGTTAATATTGACCCGCCTGGGGTCATTTGATTTATATTAACTTATATAATGGAAAACACATTTATATCTAAGGTGCAACTTCAAGCCCAAAGATTAGATATTTAGCATGTAGCATTAATTTGTAGATTTCTACAAGTTATTATTAATCCCTCGAAAATTGGCCCTGCCACGGGAGTCACTTGCTTAATGAAGACTTTAAAGGTGTAGGAAACACATTTTTTGGAGATAATTATACCTCTATAAAACAATTATAGCATTGCCTAGTAGACCTCTATAAAAAAATTATGAATCATGCATCTAGGGTAAAAAAAAAATGATCCCACCAGTGACCTTTGAGATCATGTAGTATATTATGGTTAATTAAGATAAAACATTTTTCAGACAAGTTTCTTGATTGGGTCTCTTACATAATGTTGTTGTTTTAAAAATTATATAATATCAATAAGTGTTTCTAAAAATAGAAGCAGGCATTGATCCAAGTTCTGGCACCATTGTTGTGGTGTTGAAAAATTACAAAAGCTTTTTGCTTTCTGTAAATAGAATGTGTTTACTTATAACCAAACATTTACTTTTTGATGTTCTTAGTTTGCTCAGGAGTACTCTTTAATAGGGATAAATCTAACCGTCATGATGACACCACCCTTTAAATGCAAAGATAAATAAAACACAAATGTATCAACCAAATCTTTAATGAACTAAGTTTTTATTTACACTTATCTAAAAGCTAAACAAGTTTACAATAATCACTTTAATATAAACTGTTTTTATATAACCAAAATATGAATATAAGAATAAACTACTTGAATAGAAGATTTAAACAAGTTGAAATGTAATAACTGAAAATATGAAAAATAACCTTAATATGATTTTGTATTATTAAACTAATAAATCTGAACAATAGCAAGCCCTGTTTTAATCTTTATCAACAAAAATAGAGATCAGCAATTCAAGATGGCAGCCACTTAACACAAAGATATTAATTAATCTTAATTAATTCTGTAAAAAGAAATTACATTGTACTAAAATTACTTACAAATCTTATCAAAAATGTTTCAGTGAATTTAGACAATCTCTAAGGTTTACTTAATGCCAAAGTGCCTAAAATAAATTCAATAATTAATTACTTAACCTTAGAGAGACTTAAGATATGTTACTTCTTCAAAAAATAGCAGCAGAATGTTTTGAAACTCCCTGAGGCGCTTTGTTAAAATGAACATCTAAACCCCTGAGGGAGCTAACATAACACTGTATGTAACAACTTATCTGACTGAAGATGAGTACCACTTTGTTTTGGTTTGCACTTGTTACAATGACCTAAGAAAGAAATATATTAAGAAATTTTACTACGTTAGACCTAGTATGTATAAATTTTTAGAATTATTAAATAGTGATAATAAGATTATTTTACGTAACCTTGCTTGTTATATACGAGAAGCATTGGCTATGAGAATATCAGTTACACATCGTTGAATTCACGGTTAATCCTCTGTGTAACATAGCGTAGATAAATAAGTATTGATTGCATAATGTCTAACTTTAAATATAGATTACATTTTGCTTTGATAATATTTTGATATGTTTTGTATTAACGGAATTATAAATTAAGCAATAAAAACATATGCTTTGCTAACATTTGACTATGATATTATTATGTAATGTGACTTATACTTAAATATATTTAATTGTTTGTATTGTGTAGACGATGTATTTTGTACAAGTCTGAAAATAAAGTTTCTGTTCTGTTCTGTTCTGTACAAACAGCCAACATAATTTACTTACAAATGTTTTAGGTTTATCAGTCCTTTACATAACTATTCTAAAAATACATTTTAGATTATGATACATGTAAACAATATTAACATTTTCTACAAATTTTAAATATGATAATAATGACTATATAAGTATTACAAAGTAATTAAAAGAAATCAAAATACTACTAAGAAACTAAACATATTTTATACATAATTATGTAAATGTTAAATCTACATCTTGTACTTCACTAAGTTTAAAGGCCAGTGTGTGTAAAAGTAGAACCATTCTCTATACAATGTATATTGTTTATAAAAAGCCTTAGGCCATGCTTAAGTAGACGATATGATGTATTCAAGACCTTTGTAATTTTGTCAAAGTTGAAAGTGGCAGCATTTCCAATCTGACTTAAGTTATTTATTGCATGTACGCGTAACATTTATTGATCTAAATTCAGTAATGTATGACAGAAATACCTAAAACATACATACAAAAACTATAGAAATGATAACACTGGCTACTAAAATCCCATGTTGCGGTGGGCATGTGCCTCAAATGAACACATATCTTGTTCAACTTTATTTACTGCCAAAGTCTACCTTAAATACTTGTAAACCGTTTTTGCGTTTTGAATTATTAGAAATTGCAAGTGTACTTTTGTTTTTTGAGAAACAGATCATGTAAGGCCAAATATTGTCGATTTTAAAAGACGTTATGATACACCCATCAGGCGAAATCTGTACAATGCTTTGTGTAAGTCTACTACACAAAAAGATACAATCAAATGGCCCTACTGCCACACCGCGTGGTTCTTTTATTTTGTCGTCTTTGACAGTTACATTTTTCCTTGTTGCAATGTCATATATGGTGACCGTATTTTTGTGTCTTTGACTAAAAACAAGTTTGTTACTATCCCTGAGAAATGTACAAAAACAATCATTGAATCCATATTCCTTTCTAGGAAGATTTATATCTTCCACTACTCCTGCCAGAGATACAATACAAGCAGGCTTTGTAGCGTTAAAAGTTCCTACAAGAAAGTGCCCATCATCAATCATACATATTGTATAGCATGGCAAGTCTATTTCGAAGTTCCTAACTTGCGATATCTTATTTGTTATACTGATATGAAGAACAATTATCATTTTGAATCTTCCCACTGTAACTGCCACTTCATCCTCAGATATAACAACAATACACTGTGGATGAAATTCGAATTTATATGAACCTAAGACGACCAACTTCTCACTAAGTACCAGTAGTTTCTTGTTCTGATTATCTACGACAATCAATCTCCCATCAGGCAAATAATCAAGACCAGAATATAATGGGATCCTTTCGTCATCTGCACTAGTGATTTTGATTTGGTCACAGGGATACAAATGAACTGGTCTGGTTTCTGGAACATTCACATGAAATGAACGGTGATGTAGAATTGGATTTGGAACATTAAAATGTCCAAGTTGAAAAGAAACAAAGGATATATCTTTTAAAGATTTGAATGTATTTGTAAATTGCTCCATGTGGTATTGTGCAATTACTTTCTGACATGCTGTTCCACATTTTGTCATATTGATCAGTCGTACTTTCGCTTTGTTAATTCTATCATTAAAAACTTCGCACGACATCCTTTTGTTAGATATTTCCTTCTTTGTCATTCTTTTCATGGTAGCAGCCGTCTCTTTCACTTTCTGTGCTTCATCATCGAACGCTTTTAACAATGTATTTCTTCGTTCTTCTATCACTGAATCAATATTTTCTGCATCCCTATCAACCTCGGATTCCACTGAAGACAGCCATGCAATAAGTAGACTTGATTCATTTTGCAGCCGTGGAATTTCCATCCCTGGATTAAATTTTGGCTGCGAAGCAATATTAGAAATGGCTGTGATTGTTTCACAGCCTTGGTGTTTCTCTTTACTGCAATCTTCGCAACACAGTTCATTGTGTGACTCACAAATGTATGCCAGATTTCTTTTATGTTCGTGGCATACATCATAACCTTTAGCATCTATTTTGATTGGGCTCCTCTTGAATATCCTCGAGCGTCTGTGCGTAGGTGCATCAACATGAATGCTTTGGCTGCATTCTAAACACAGAAACTGGGTGCAATCTTCACAAAAGAACTTAGAGGTTTTTTTGTTATCATCATGAATACATTGTTCACAATAGGGCAATGTATCATGGAATTTCAAGTGTGTAACATCATCTGAGGTGTATCCTGGCAAAAGAACAAAATAATGGACATTTTTCATACATACTTGAGTCATTTTGTTTAATTTCAATAAAGTAAATGCAAAGAAGGCCTAAGTTTTGTAAAAATACAATTCTAACCGTTTTGTGTTGAAAAGCAACAATCATAGCTATTTAAGGAAACTCAATGAGTGGTCTTGAAGCGTTCAATAATATAAATATAGCATAACAGTTGTCAGGTAACATTTAGATTGGAATGATTAAATTTGTAATGGAATAACAAGGGAGGTAACAATGGTCTATAAATATGCGAAGGGAGGTAACAATGGTTATATATATACAGTCAGGGTAAGTATATGTAGTTATTTACAAAGAAATAGCTGATTGCGTATGAGCTTATGACTAAAATACGACAGTGAAAAAGGAAGGTGTCTGAAATACAAATAAGGCAAACAAATTGAGATGAAATCATCATAATGATTATTTTTGAAAATATTATTCATCTTTGAAAATAAACGTCTACAGACTGCAATTTTAATGTAAAATTCAATTTAAACGCTATATATAGTATTTCTAAACTTACTTTCGCTCACTTTTGTCATAAAATGTCATTTTCGTATTTTAGTCATACCCAGGGTAGATAACTGGTCATTTTAGCAAGGGGAAGAAAGTGCAGTCAGTTTCAATTGTGCTAAAGGGATAAGTATTACTAGCGACATTGTATACTAGTTTAAAAAAACACAAGGGTCATAAGTGATGACATGTGTCGCCTCATGATAGCCAATCGCATGTTGCAGCTACGTGTAGCAGCAGACACAAAAATCATTAACAGGGAAAAAAACACATTTTTAATCAAGGGTAATAACTCAGCTGAAAATCATTCAAGCAAAAAACTTGTGTATTATGCACAAGTAATTGACCTACCAATCAATTCTGTAAAGTTTCATTGAAAATACATAAATGGTATAAGAGGAGTAGTCCGGACAAACTTTATTAACACCCTTGTCATTCAAGGGCCATAACTGGGCCAAAATCATTCAAGCGGAAAACCAGTGTACTATGCACAAGAACTTGACCTTCCAATCAATCCTGTCAATTTTCATTGAAATTGCATAAGTGGTATAAGATGAGTAAACCGGACAAACTTTAAAAAATAAAAGTAAATAAAGGGCCATACTCTGAAAGAAAAATCATTGAAAAAAGCCGAGTTGGTACCTAGACTTAGTATTGATCTTTCCTGTAAAGTTTGGATGAAATTGCACCAGTAGTTTTTTGAGAAATAGACCGGACAAGCTTTTGTGTATCTGGCAACACACAAAAATACCTTTTTTTATTAAAGGGCCATAACTCAGTCAAAAATCATTGAACCAGAAAACCCGTGCAATATGTGCAAGGACTTGAGCTACAGATTAATCCTGTAAAACTCATTAAAATTGCATTTGTGGTATGAGACGAATAGTCCGGACAAACTTTAAAACTAAAAATTATTAATAGGCCAGTCATAATAGAAATTATGGTAAAACTAATTCCTTCAGAAATGTTTTCACGATTAAATAAAAGATAAACATTATCTACATTTTGAGAAAAAAGTCCTCAAAAAATCTCCTTGCAGAATCCTGAAAAATCGATCATAAAGATTTAGTAAAAATCAATATTTAAATGTGTCTCTTAAATTACACCATACTTTAATTTTATACACGTTCGGTGACGTCACGTTTATTATATTTTCGTTGAAAGATCTGAAGTTACTTCAATTCCAGCATTCCTAGTGCAAAGGTGAGTAATTTTAGTCATTTTTATATTCTTCTGTATAAATTAGGGAAAAATATGTCAGTAGATAGATTTAATTGACCACCAATCAATCGATTATGCAGATGACAAAATGTGTCATATAATTTCGCGATTTTAAACTCAATTTTGAATAAAGTAATCATTAAAAGAGAGTTTATCTTTTTCTCACTGTTCTACATTGTTTCCTTTTGTACAATTATCTAAAATGACACAGAATTAACCACACATCTTACTGAGTATTTAAAAAAATGTGTATGCACAAGTTTTGTATTTTTTTCTTTCTACGGAAGCGTGTTGTGACCAAAAATCACGAAAATCTAGGGATATTTTTAAAATGTTAAATTTGACTTATTTCAAAGAGTTGGCATGTTTTTTGAATTGTGGAAATCATAATTAAAACAAATAATATGTTAACTTGATGTAAACAAACGTATTTTGTAATACATTTTAATGCATTTTTAAGCGAAATGATAATATTCAAGCATGTTATATGTTATATTACACCCAATAGGGTGTAATCAAGCTAAAACTATTACCTATTAATGAGGAAGTTGGATAGACACATGACTTCTACACAAGGGGTAATGGGATGCGAGAGAAAAATGGCTTTTTACGTAGATATATCTTATTGAATGAATGAAAACCAAACAATTGTGTGTCTTTCAGGTTTGTAAATACAACAGAAATTGATATATCAACACAAATTTACATCATTGTTTTACAGCATGATATTATAATAAATGCACATACAAAAGAGTTTGCTCATACCAACATTTTCTCAGGCGTTTCCCTGTTATATCATATTATATCATTTCAATACTATTTCTTTTTAATATCTTTTTGATAATGATTTATGGACTTTATATATCTTATTTTCAGAGGAAGGGCTAAACATAGTATGGGATGGTTGATTGCAGAAGACAATATTTAGCGAGAGTCCAGCCTTTTATATTTTGGCGAACATAAATCAATACGTTAATTGAATGTGGCAAGAATTTTCCATATATCCAAGTTCGGAGAGGTTAAATGAGTTATTTTTGAAAAGATCCAGCATTTTTGAAAAGCAATTTACAGGTAAATCAAAGAAAAACCCTCTATATCTTTAATACACAGTTGGTGTACCAGATTCAATTTTGTGTGCTACTGCATATATAACTTTTCTTAAGGGAATTCAGTTTTCTTACATTCTCGGAATTACTAAGATCAGAGATTTGTTTGTTTGTTTTTATGTCACATCAACACTTTACAGGTCATATAATAACTTTCAAGCTTTACTGGTGAAGGAAAAAGTGTGACATAGGTATTGTTTTTAGCGCATAGAACCACCAATATTCTATAAGTCAGTTTGGGATAGCTATGTCAGATAATAGATTCCAAAACCCCGGCAGGACTCGAACCTACATCCTACATCGTTAACACCGTAAGAAGCAAGTGTTTTGAAGTCAGTGACCTTAATCACTCGACCAAAACTTCCAATTTAGTTATCTGTATGACAGTATAGGTGCCGTTTTGTTCAGTATTTCCTACTTATATGGCACATTATATTGTTTCACAGTCCGCGCTTCTTTCAGCCGATAGGCAATTTACACGCTTTAAATTTGTTATAACAATATAACATGAAACCTATTTTCTGAAGAAGAAAGCTGAGGCACGTTTTTGCTGAGATTTATGTATGAATTATTTGTAGATAATTCAACATAAAAATATAAATCTAAAAGCACAATCCTATCTTCCTTTATAGTACCTCGTTTTCAGTTTGACATACAATTGTTTTATTTTAAAAGCAGAATGCAAAGTTCGCATTTTTATTTATCATACTATGTTGTAACATTTATTTTACAGATGCGAAACAATGTGTCTCTGTGAAAAGGGTATAGGCTAAAGGTTTCAACAGCACCGGCCGAAAAGTGGAGAATTGAACAAGGGCAGGGCAATATGTATATATACATGTGTAGCGTTGTCAGACTATATGGATAGTCGGGCCTCGTTGACGCAAATGATGAAATAACATTGTGTTTTTTCAGTGTCTTAACATTCAGAAGATTCATTTTATTTTAAAATGTCTTTTTACAATAATTTTTTTTACAAAACTTCCATGGTTAAGTAAGTGCAATTTAGCATTGGTAAGATATTTACTTGAAGGATTGATTTTCAGAACAGAAATGCAAATACAATGTATATAAATAATAATTATTTGTGTAAAATGTATTGCAATTTTGAATTATAATATGAATTTAGATAGATTCATACAACTTTATTCTTGGTAGAGCTAACTTGTAAGAATATTTAATGGAATCTGACTAAAAGTAAAAAAAAAAAAATTATCATTAGTGGGTGGGGTAATGTTTTATACCAGTCTAAATGATGATGTATAGATTATGCAGTGTTGCGACTTTTTGAATGTAATCAACATTGGTTGAAATGTTTTGGATTAAATAAAGCATGTTTGTGTATTAATGTGTTACTTTGTTAATTACCATATTTGCGTAGAATATCTGGGTTATTTAATTTCACAGATTATTCTAATTGAAAACACATGATTTCAAAACATGACATTTTTAGCATTTTATACTTCGAATTTTTTTGAGGACTTTTTTCTTGTAGCAACACATATATAGTAGATAACAAATATGCAAATATCTTTTCTGAAGGAATTTGTTTGAGGTTGGGTCTTATTTTTGGCTAAAATGCCTAGCCTATAAAGTGCCTTAACTCGGACAAAAATCATTGACTGGAGAATGCTGACGATATGTATAACTAGACTATATACTGATAATTCATGTTAAGTTTGGATGAAATTGCACCTGTAGTTTATGAGGAGTAGTGCGCACAAGTTTTGTGACAGACAGAGAGACGGACAGACAGATGACGGAGAAGTGATTCATATATGTCGCCACGACTCCGTAGAGGCGAACAAAAAAACCTCATATGGACCACAAAAATGTGTCTTCATTAGAATATGTGAATGCTTATACATATAAACATAAACATCCATAAAGCTTAAAGAAGAGTAAAACAAGGAATTGGAATGGCCAGACTTCATTATAATTAAAGGGCCATAACTCCGAAAAAAATCATTGAACCATAAACAGCCGATGATATGCAACCTAGACTTAGTATTGATCATTCCTGTAAAGTTTGGATGAAATTGCACCAGTAGTTTTTGAGAAGTAGTCCGGACAAGCTTTTGTGTATCTGGAAACACACAAAACACCATTTTTTTTATTAAAGGGCCATAATTCAGCAGCCAGAAAACCTGTGCAATATGTGCAAGGACTTGAGCTAAAGATCAATCCTGTAAAATTCATTGATATTGCTTTTGTGGTATAAGACGAATAGTCCGGACAATCTTTAAAAATAAAAATTATTAAAGGGCCCTAACTCGGACAAAAATCATTGAACCGGAAAATGCTGACGATATGCATAACTAGACATGATACTAATAATGCCTGTAAAGTTTGGATAAAATTGCACTACTAGTTTATGAGGAGTAGTCCGCACAAGTTTTGTGACTGACGGACAGACAGACAGACAACGGAGAAGTGATCCCTATATGTTGCTACGACTCCGTAGAGGCCTCACAAAAACCATCAAAATGCGCCTTCGTTAAAATATGTGAATGCTTATACATATAATGCTTAAACATCCATAAAGCTTAACGATCCATATGTGAAGGGTTAAACAAAGAATTGGAATGGTCAGACTTCATATTTTGAACTTATTTTTTGCTTGCTGTTTGAAAGACAGTATATGTACTGAACATCGAAAGTACCAAAGTACAGTTTCTTACCAGTGTGTAGTTTCTGTAACTCGGTTGAAAAATGTTCTCCCAAATCTGTAATACAAACACTAATAAAGCAAATGTGGGACAATTATTCTTGTTAAGTATCAGTAATAATATGACTATATATGTTCTCATTAACATAATCAATTTAATCGAGTCTGCAATTTTCGTATAATATTGCAGTTGTTTTCATTGCTCCCACTTTTTCAAGATTCTGTTCTAAATCTGTTATATGCCAATAAACTATGTATTCAGATATACATGTACATGTAGGAAGACCCCTTTTCAAATTTTGCTTAAAGTTTTGTAATAAGTTATATCGATTGGTTCTCTTTGTACAATACCACATGCTTTTGTTGCCATTCATAGTGTTATGTGAGTATTACAGCTTTATATTACATGATGTACTTCCGAATGAAAGGTTCTTTTAAAATAATCATTTGGCAAATATTACAGATATTAGATATCACTTTTATATTGTTTTCTTTACCTGACAGTGAACTTTGAAGCCTACTCTCCGATGCTTTAATTTCTTGTACAATGTCTTCTGACTGTTCTTCCAACATTCCTTCAAAATCTTGTAATAATTCATCCTCAGTCCTCAATTGTTTAGCATATTTCAAAGCTGTTGATTCATCAAGTGGTTCCTTGATGAATTTCTGTATCAACTTGGAGCATTCAGTCTGTATCTTCGCATCAAGACCTAATGACAACTTTGTCAAGGCATCTTCCAGATCAGTTTTAATGGTGGTAAAATCCGTTTCCTCAAGGGCGGCTGTTGAATTGTGCGACAGTGTATTTCTCGTATTCTTTATTTCTCTTACATATTGTTTTTCTGTTGTTGAAACCATCAACACATCTAATATAATGACAGTTAACAGGGAGATGTCAATATCTTTGACGTGAGGCTTTGCGCTTTTAGGGAACAGTATTAGATATTGAGACCTAAGGAGCTTCCTCTTCAGTTCTGGTTCTTTAGGTTTGAGGAGAACGTCTAGTCCAACACCAGCCAGCTCTCTCTCTGTTATCCCTCTACAGACCAACATCCCACACTGCACCAGAAGTAACAGAAGCCGGATATAATATTCAGTTTGTACATTCATCTTCTGAAATGTCAATAGATGGATTCGTACATTGCAAAGTTATGTGACCGCTTTTATCAAATGTATTCGGAAGAAATTTAAGAACTTCATCGAATACCTTTGAAAATTAAAACAATACTTCAATGAAAAGGTCCGTTTTGCTTTTCTATAATTGTAAAATGAATGCTCGTTATACATAAGGAAGACAACACTCTCCCCCATTTTTATGACACGGACAAAAGCCGCCTTAAGATTTGGCCCTCAAATATGATTATAGGTATCAATGTATAAGAAAAAAACCAACAACAAATATTTACGTATTATCTAATTAAATAATACATATAAACATTTTTTTTCTTTTACTTTAAGGAGTTAAAATTTGTTGCTTCTTCCTAAATCGCTCGCAACGGTCTGTAAATATAATTTATTAGGCGGTAAATAAACTACTGATTATCGCCTATAGCTTTGTATGTACATGTATGTGTTTGTGGGATCCCATAGTTTTGCATGTACACTCCGACGAATGTTTCTAAACATAGATCTAAATGGGACAATGATAACGGTAACAAATATTTTATTTAAAGTAGTTTATCACAGTTATATAATAATATAATATATAAGTCAGGGTCTTTCAAATAGAAGACCTTTTACAAACTGCTTATAACTAATATAACTTTTAATTTAAGTTTTATACCTTTAATGTAGTCTAAATCCTATAAATACTATTACACTGCCTCATACGGCTTCCTGACTTTAAGGCGAGGTTGAGTTATGTCAAGGGCGTACAGAGGGAAACATGAGATAAACAAAATGCAGTGTTAACACCTAATGCATTACCTCCACTTTGAAGAGTACTCAAATAGGCTAGAACTACTGTCAAATGCATTGAAACTGAGGGGCGCGGGTTCAAGCCCCAGAAGAGGCAACTTTTTTTTCTGTCTTTTTTTTCTTTGAACATTATTTGTGTCTCTCAGATCACTCTTTTGATAAGAAAAAAGTGTTATTATTTTTGGTATTTATTGGCTAAATTGTGCCAAATTTATTATCAAATATGGTACCTCATATTTTCAAAGTCTAATAAAATAAAAACTAGACGGTAAAAGTACTTTATATTTGACAGGTGCATTCAATATACTTTTAAGAAAATTTATGCAAACTTTGAAAACAGCCCCTGATTTCAGTAAATTTTAGGGATATTTTGAATAAGGCCCTCCAAGTAGAAAAATGATCAAACAACTACTTAAAATGGGTGGGGTAGGGTAACATTTATATACATATTTCAAACATTTTGAGTAGAAACAATAATTTTGCTGGGTCATTTGTTAGCTGAATGCTATTATTTGTTTCTTAAATATTTTCTATAGGAAAAAAATATTTCATAATGATTATATAATAGAATAATTAGAGTTTCTCATTTCTGAAAAAGAGCCCTTCTAATAGCCAAGTTTTACTTTAGAAAAATCTCTATGACTCGTAAACCATACGGTAAACTTTGTTTAAATTTTGCATTCTTGTGTCTTTTAAGGTATATAACTGACCTATGTTGTCAATTTTATAGTTCCTTATAGTGCCCATTAGGGGGCTAATACCTTCTAGTATTCGGGTGTTCAAATTATAGCATAAAAGCAATAGGTAGGAAACAAATATTTAGAATAAAGTTGTTGTCATAATTTTGTTTGCTTTAAAAAAATACCAATACATACAAATCAATAATAGTACAAGTAGTAAGAAATAATAACAGACAGAACAGAACATAACGACAAAACTGTTCTGTTCTTATAAAATCAGAATGTACACGAGTTATGAGCAATCTAGTTATGACTACTCTATAAATTAAATGATTATCTTGGTACGTGGTTACATAAACTATATTTTATGGAATTAAATAACTCTACTGCTTTAAACCAGTAATGTTCTGTGCACCGAGAAAGAAATGTGGTTTCACCCTTTCAAAATAGTTGAAGATATATATTTTCAGGTATCTAAATGTTGTTATATATATTTGAAGCATCAAATCCAGCTTTAAACTGTTTAGTGTGGTAGTTTGATTTACTGATTTGATGTTTTAAAACAGAGTTCATGTTTCGTAGATGTATTTGATTGACATGTTTCAAAAACAAATACAGATGTGGTTATCTTAAAGCTTTTGAAAATATGTTTACGATATTTTTCGAAAGCCAAACTATTTCATTTTTATTTCAATATCAGCACAACGAACTAGAGAATTTGGCAGTAAATGAAATGCAAACATATTCAACAATAAATTGCACTCTTTATAAATGTATAGAAAGAATTTATGTAGGCCATTTTTACGAATTGTTATATCATAGTATTATTAATTTGAAATTATCTTTTCCGTAGGTTCTGTCCCGTATATTAATAGCTCGTTTCATTTTTACGGCCTTGATTGTACTAACGTAAATATTTAAATCGACCCTGATTCCCCGATGTTTTGCTGTAAGAAGTTGATTAAGCAATCGGTTTAATGGTGGTTTAGGTGGATTGTTAATTTGCCGAATACTGTGACATTTTAAATACAGAAACTTTCGTCTGCAGTTTTAACATGAGGTGTAATGAATTTGTTGATTGGAATGTAAATACACTGTTGGGTCAGACAAGGATTTTGAAGCAATTCAACAAAATAGTAGATTGATCAATTAACAATAACTCTTAAGTTATCACCAATGTCAAGTAGCTGTTATATCTTAGACTGGCATGAGCTCATACCTGTCTAAAATTCATGTAACAGTCTTCCATTATACATGTATTGATAAATAATGTTTCATTATATCAACATGCCATGCCAATAATACCTAGTCTGTATAGAAAATGACCTGTGTTGAGGAATGATTTGTGTAAGGTATCTGTAATGAGCGAGCTTCTCATTTGCTGCATTGCAGCAACAAATGTACTTATATAACACTGGAATTTCAATTTTTGTAAATAAGTTAGAAGCCGCCTTTAAGGAATAGCCGATTAATTTTAGTCACGTGGAGACGACTCATCTTTTTGGGATAAATGATTGTTAAAAAACGCCTCTGTAAATATGCTGAAATAATACTAAATGCAAAATAATTAAAAATAACCTTTTTCTTTTGCAAATATTAACAGAAAAAATAACATTGTAAACAGTCAAATGATGACAAAATATTTCCAACTACAGAAAGTAACTATTTTTAATCACTTTAAAAGTATAGACTCAATGATCAATTTTTACAAGATCGGTATAGTACTATTGATACATCTTCTTAGTGCTTATAGTGTATCGCACATATAATAATACTTTTTGTTTTGAAAAAAAATTTATCTAGATGTACTTCCATTTGACATAGGCAAATATTGATGTTAATTTAGAACAATGAATTACCTATTACCAATTGAAAAAGGCAGACATTTGGCCATTGATCATAATAATAGACTTTGTTCCTTATTGGCCATTGATCATAATAATAGACTTTGTTCCTTATGTATTTATTAAACAAGTTTACTAAAAAAGTATCAATAAGTGTATATTTCACAGGAAACGAATTCAAAAAGGAGACAGTAAATGCTTGTTGTTTGTTTTGCATTATATACTCCAACTTAACTTATTTTTGGCCATATTCCTGCGTCGAATCATCTTTTTTAGTATAACTAACTAGCAAATAATTGTAAATACCACATTCCCCGCAAGTGACAGGCTACTGATACAACATAATTTCTTGCATATCAGACTGGCGTTTCCGTGAGTTTTACCCATGCCGGAAATTTCATCTGACATGAGGGGTTCCAGATGAGTCGCGTGCTGTACAATGGCACGGTTAGGATGACGTCATTTTACCGTTATGAATGAAGTTGTAATTCATACGCTGTTGTAAGAAAGTAGTTACGGTTGTAATGATATAAATTTTCATTGAAAATAAAGATAAATAATTTAAAATATAATGGAATATGGTAGAATATGCAAGAAAAAATATCTGACATATGTTTGCGGTTCGGATCGGAATATCCGTCCCTCGGTCACCCGCCCATGGGCGGGTCACCTCGGGACGGATATTCCGATCCGAACCGCAAAATATGACAGATATTATTATTCTGAATAAGCGATGAGAGACATATGACTACAGGACTCAATGGCTGAGATCAATTGTCACGCAGAAATTTCGCTTTCGATCGAGTTTCGAACCAACGACCCCTTTTTACTTCTCCGTACCCTCCCTATATTTTTATTTATTCATACCCTCCCTATTGAGTTGTGTTGGCTGACGAAAACGCACTTTAACGTGAAATGACAATAATTGTAGAAAATGATGAAGGGAACCAATTTGGACGAGGAAGACTGGTACTGGTTATACTATAATGACGAATATACAGGTCTTCGCAACACGCCGCTCATTTCCCAGAATTCATCGAACTCCCTAACGCCATCATTAAAGTCTGTTCACCAAATATCCAGGGGAATGATTATTCCTGCAGGAAATAGAGATGTCATATAAAATAGATATAAAATCTCAATTTATCCATACGTGTAATTTCGAAGAGATGTGAGCGCTTGGTTTTTGTAAGAATTAACCGGCTGAAAGGCAGGTAAAACGAAATAAAGGATTAAATTTTTAGTATCCCGTTCTTTTGGGTGATCAAAAGAAATTATTATCTATATAATAATAAATAAATATTCAAACAGATCATTATATTACATTTTATAGACATCGTCATGGTAGCCATTAGGGCAACAAATTATTATTTTTATTCTGACAATGTTTTCTGATATTTTCACTGGTACACTGTAACGAAAATTCTATTCTATTCTTTTCTACATCATACTGCTTTAAAATCGTTTTCGATCACTCTAAGCAGGTATACATTGTATACATTTAAGAAACAGCTTTAAGATACAAGGGAATCCGGGAACCAGTCCCTAGCTCTTATTGAATAGACCCCTTGGTTCTTTTACATGCCCAGTGTATAGCACTGATACATGCGAGGATTACCTGGATTTCTTACCAGTACACCTCTAGGTAGGTGGGAAACACTGAAAGTGTCTCTGAAAAATCCCAAGGGTGTAACCCAGGATCGAACCCGGGACCTCAGGAGTGATAGTCAGTGGTTTAACCAACTGAGCTATCGCGCCACCTGTTTTAAATAATGATAGGGTTTAAGAAAATAACACTTATAGACAGTTGTTTTTCCATATATTAAGATAATGGTGCATGGTGTTTATAAAGTTTTAAATTATCAATTATTGTTACGCATCTTACATGGCCTGATGAATATATATAACAATAAGTTACAGCTCAAAGTAAGTGGATTTACGCCAATGGAAGAATAAGAAAAAAGCAAAACGTAACAAGGAGAAAATGCTTAAGAGTAAAAATGCAAAATTACAAAGAAATGACAAATAATGTTGTCGTCCTTTGATTCGCCTTGAAAAAACAAAATGCGACAACACAAAGATATAACATGCAAGTTTGACATTTGCGTGGCAGGAAAGGCGAAAATACGACATTGGGGGTAAATAAGGCTTAAAAATGTATTTTATTGTTTTCAATGTCCACCTCAAAAACTTGCAACGTATTGTTATCTACATAATTATTTGAAATGGCAAGTCTTCTTTTGTCTTGAGAAAAGCATATTCGGTAAGGGTTTATGATGTTTATCTTATGAGATGCTACAACTCTTCCATCTGGAGAAATCTGAACAATGCTGTGTGTTTCCCTACTGCATACAAAGATATAACCAAATGGTCCTATTGCAACACCTGTTGGCTTTTTTATCTGGTCGTCCTTTACACTTACGTCAGTTTTTGT